AGCTCTTCAAACAATAAACTTCTTACACAGCCTTGAGCTGCACAAAGCTAGACAAGTACTCAACGTGGCAGAATCCTTCTGTGCAAACGTGCCATATAATATTAACTGCCGAGTATGAAATTTGACCAGCAGCAGCCATAGTCTGCGGACTATAAAGTTGGATGCTTTCATTTGGGTTTGATTTAAAGTTCTCGCGCTTTTTACTTGAGCTTGCCTAAATGGCAAGCTAAAAAAAAGCAGGATTCGCTTTGGTTTTTTGTGTTGGTGAACTTGTTTGTTTTTTGCTGACGCCTCTTAGCTACAATGGCCAGCTGCAGCTTGGAACTGATGTAGCAAGCTGAATAAATATTTGTATTTATTCTGTCTAGTCATTTTGAGACACTTCCCCTAAAACCAATAGGAGTAACCTCAAGCAAGCGGGAGGCATGCAGCCTTATTATAGTTTTATCAGGAGACAAGTTGGAACATATGACTCAACTCTGCTCTACAAGGAATGTGAGTCCAAGATATACATACAGGCTGATGGGTTGAGTGCCACCCTTGAGCATGAATAGAATAGAATACAGAAAAGGGCACAATAGCCCTTTTCTTGTATTCATCCAAAGTCTAGGCAAGCAGGAGTACATTTTAAATATTTAGTACCTTCCCAAAGAACATATGCTGAACACTAAAACAATGATTTCTGTGTTTTAAAAAGATACAATAAAAATGCCAACCATTTAATTAGTAATGTGTTTCTTCATCTTCTAAAGTATTCCAAAAAAGGAATTTCAGATATATGTTTTTACCAAATGGATGAAAAATAAATGAGTCCCTAATTGTGTTTCTGCATTCATTTTCATCTCAGGTAAATTCTTTATCTCAAGCCTTCAATATTAAGGATGCTCTATCTGAGCTGCAAAAATCTAGATTAACACTAGAGACACAGATACTGAAAACACAAACCCATTGCTGGCCATCTACTAGTTGTCTAGACTTTTGCAGACAGATATAATTAACTCCAGCTTCACCTCTTAGTGAAATGACCATCACGTCGCTTTAGACTCTGTAGCGGTATATTTAATAATTTCTTCCCTTCTATCCCATTACAATTTCAATTTCCTTTTGAAACATGTGGCTTTCACATATTCTAACATGGGTGGAGATAATAATTATGTAACTTACATATTTCTATACAGCTTTTACTGAAGGACATTCAATTTGTTGTTTGCATTTAGCTTCACAAGGGTAAACATAGGCCACACTGAAATAGACAAGCACAGCCCCTCAGAACATTGGCAGGCAAGCCTTCAGATGTTTCAAAAGGATCTCACTTTAGAAAGATTAAACAAGGCCAAATAGACTGCATATGGAGTTTTTCTAGAATTCTTGCAACTAGAAGTATGGAGTATGGAGAAATTTCCTAACAGTGAGAACAATCAACCTTGCCTTCAAAAGCTGGGGGTGCTCCAACACTGGACATATTTAAAAAGAGACTGGACAGCCACTTGTCTGAAATGGCTGTTTGAGGTCTCTTGCTTGAGCAGGGGGTTGGACTAGAAGATCTCCAAGGTCCCTTCCAGCTCTGTTATTCTGAACTTCCCCTTCAAATTCTTCCTAGTTTTTTTCCAGCTTTGCAACAGTGGAAAACACTCAAGGTCATTTGCTAGTTCCTACTTATGGCAAAACCTTTCACCAGTGTCGTTAAGAATAGCTCCTATTGTTTTTGGAAAAACTACGTGAGTCTTTGCACGACAGTTGGTACTATCCATTCTGGTAATCTGAGAATAAAATAGTTTAAACGTCTGACCAAATACTTAGCACAAAAATTCTTGATGCATGCCGTGGATTTTCTTCTAAGGCAAAGAGGTCCTTTTCCAAAAATAGCTGATGAAAAGAAAATCTAAAGTTAAAATCTGACTCAAGCCACATCTGACTCAAAATCTGACTCAAACCAGCATAATGTAAAGACTCCAACATAACTAGCACACATTTATCACTGGATTCACTAGGAACTAAATAATGCAGAATTATGACTACCATTAACTCAACAATCCTATGATTGCATTTACCCGGCTCACTTTAATTAGCATTCATTTGTGAACCTTAGTCATGTTCTTTTGCCTTGTTGTGCAAGCTCAGGCTGTTTGCTTAGTTTATGGTTTAATTTAGTTTGGGAATCTAGAAAATGGGTTAATTCAGCAACCTGGTTAAATGTATTGTGCAAACATCTGTATATTTCTTATTTTAGAATTAACTAGGAGAGTTTTTATTTAAAACTTCTATGTAACATTTTAGACCCATAATGGCAAAGAATGAATGTTTGTTTTGCTTTCTGAAAACATCTTCTAAATATGGTGATTTCCCCCATTTCTTAATGGTAAAGCATGCAAGCCATCATGTATCATATACCACGTTAATTGTGAAGGTAATTTCAAAGGCAGAAAAGATGGCAATAGTGGGATATTTCAAGTTAGCATAAGGGTTGGAAAAATTTATTTACAAATTAGAGAAAATATACTAATATGAACCACATAGCCTGTTTTGCTTTTTCTCAAACTGCATTTTATTTATTTACTGTCATATGCCATGGCAATCCAGCAGACTCCAAATGCTTTGCATAACCATTACAGTAAAAATGTTATGAACAAACCAATATACTGTTGTTGTTAGTTGCAAAGTCGTGTCCAACCCATCGCGACCCCATGGACAACGTTCCTCCAGGCCTTCCTGTCCCATCTTCTGGAGTCCATTTAAGCTCAGGCCTACTGCTTCAGTGACTCCATCCAGCCACCTCATTCTCTGTCGTCCCCTTCTTCTCTTGCCCTCCATCTTTCCCAGCATCAGGCTCTTCTCCAGTGAGTCCTTCTCATTAGGTGGCCAAAGTACTTGAGTTTCAACTTCAGGCCTTCTAAAGAGCAGTCGGGGTTGATCTCCTCTAGGATTGATCGCCTTGCAGTCCAGGGGACTCGCAGGAGTCTTCTCCAGCACCATAGTTCAAAGGCTTCAATTCTTTGGCGCTCAGCCTTTTTATAGTCCAACTTTCACAGCCATACAATGCAACTGGGAAAACCATGGCCTTGACTATACGCACTTTTGTTGGCAGGGTGATGTCTCTGCTTTTTAGTATGTTGTCTAGATTTGCCATAGCTTTTCTCCCCAGGAGCGTCTTTTAATTTCTTGGCTGCAGTCCCCATCTATGGTGATCTTGGAGCCCAGGAAGATAAAATCTGTCACTACCTCCATTTCCTCCCCATCTATTTGCCAGGAATTGAGAGGGCCGGATGCCATGATCTTGGTTTTCTTAATGTTGAGTTTCAAGCCAACTTTTGCACTCTTCTTCACCCGCATCAAGAGGCTCTTTAGTTCCTCTTCATTTTCTGCCATTAGAGTGGTACCATCTGCATATCTTAGGTTGTTGATATTTCTCAATATACTGTAAGAATTACAATTCATAACTAATTCATCACTAGGGTTACGAATTTATACAGTTCATAATTCTAGTGCGCAAGGAACTGTCACCATTCTATACTCAAGGCATTCCAAAAAAACAAACCCCCTTTTGTGGGGAACTATTTAATTTCAGAGAATATACTATTCCTCTTGACATCTACTTTGTTCTTGGGGCTTATACCATAGCAGAATATTCACATCCCACACTTGACTAGGTCAGCCAGGCAACTAGCAGCTTTTCAATATTTAACACAACCAAGTGTTTTTTGTTTTGACATACGCAAATCCAGAATCCAGACTAAATCCACTAGTATTTCTATGCAGACTCAACTGACATCATCCACATTCTGCTCTTCCTGTTTCTGCATGTGGCAAGAGATTTTCACTGTGCGATGGATAATTTAAAACAGTGGTTCTCAACCTTTTTAATGCCGCGACCCCCCCCCAAACCGGTCATAAGTCGAGGACTACTCAACCGGTCGTAAGTCGAGGACTACTCAACTGATGCACCACCGTTGACAGAATGGGACTTTTGGCGGGCTCAGCAGGGCAGAGACAGCCTGGACAATTCCTATTGGCTTTTGAAAGCCAATAGAATGAGACTCTATTCAATTCTGGGAGTTGAAGTCCACATGCCTTAAAATGGTCAAGGTTGAGAAACACTGGCCTAATCTGTACCGGTGCGAGACCTCGGTTTTCTCCATTGGATACAAGGATGCGTCGGAATGGCAGCTAATGGAGCAAACTCGCAAATAGCCGCGTTAAGCTTGCTACCAACCCAAATAATCCAACTTCCTTCGGAATAAACGGGATTCTGAGCTAGGCATGGGCGGCCAGAGAGCTTCTCCGCGAACAGGATAGCTTCTCCCTCACCAGGAGGGTGACTCAAAATGGCAGCCTGAGGCGGCGAGCTGAGGCTACCTTCCGCGGCACACGTGACGTGGCCCCGCCCCGTTCTCGGGCTCCGCCTCCTCCTTCCCCTCCCCGCCGTCACTCCCCGCTCCACCAATTGCGTCACAAGGACCCAATTGCCCGCCGCCTCTTCTCCTGGCTGGGCGGGGCGTCGCGGGGAGCGGCACCGCTCTCGCGGCCTGAAAGTCCTCCGCCCAATTTCTTTCCGATATTCGTCGCACCCGGCATCCGGGAGCCAATCCCGTGTCGCTTGGGGGCGGGGAGTGGCAGGCGGCGCCGCCAATGGAGTGAGAAAGACGGCGGGCCGCGAGTGGGAGGAGCCTCCGGCGACGGCGGCGCAAGGTGTGTGAAAGGTCGTGCCGGAGGGGGCGTCTCGATGGGAGTCGTTATCCGGGCGGGAATCGGCGGGACCGCCGGCGTCGGGCCTGCACAGGTGAGGCGAGCAGCGGGGCCGAGGGGTCGGGCAGGGGTCAGTCGGTCCCCAGGCTCGAGATCCGGAGGCGCCTTTCCATCCGCGGGCCTCCTTCTCCCCCCCCCACCCGCCTTCGTCCCCGTGGATGCGGCTGCGTTATCCTCCCTCCCTCCCTCCGTCATCCTCCAGACGGGCTGGACTACAACTCCCATCATGCCTCAGCCAGCCCGTTGGGACGCCTTGCCTTGGCATCGCCCTTGCCTGTAGTTTTTCTCTCTCCCATTTGCATCCTGCGCGGAGTCGGGCAGGACGCGGCTTCCTCTCTTCCTCGGAGAGCTCGGGGCCCCTCCGTGGGAGGGGAGGGGGCTGGTTTGTACCTTCACAACAACCCTGCGAGGTAGGTGGGGGAGAGAGAAGGTAACTGACCCACGAAGGGCACTTGGGAAATGGCATGGGCGGGGGGGGCTTGGTCCCTTCACTGACTTTATTGTGGGGGGGGAGAGAGCTCCTGGGGGGGGTTTCTTTCCTAACCTACCTCTCTCTCTCTCTTCCACCCCCCCGCCATTTTATTCCAAGGGCATTTTAATTCGGGATTTTTGTAAAGGTGTCCAAGGAAGTCATAACATGTTCTTTTTGTTTAAAGACTCTTCTAACATTTTGAATGGGATAACTGAAATGTAATCATGGAGAGACTCTACAGCAGTGGTTCTCAACCTTTCTAATGCCGGAACCCCATAATACAGTTCCCCACGTTGTGGTGACCCCCAACCACTTATACATCACTGGGTGCCAGGGGCGTGGCCAAAGAAAAGGGGGAAAAAATGGCGGACTGCGTTGTTTGGCGACCCCCGTGAAATGGTCGTTCGACCCCAAATGGGGTCCCGACCCACAGGTTGAGAACCACTGATCTACAGGGTGGCTGGTGGTCAAAAACAACTGGGTGGCATTGAATAATGTACAAAAAGGAAAGACTTTGGGTTGGGAAGCTGGGTGCTTGAGATTCGACCTGCTCAAAGGGACAATAATCACAGAAACCTTAACGGGGAAAAAAATGGGTAGGTCGGTTTGCCTTGGGCAGCAGAAAGGAGATGAAAGGTGGGGCTTTCTCAAAAGGTCATGAGGAATGTCTACGAAGAGCTCTCCTGGATCAGCTGAAGATCCTTCTAATCTGGGATCTAGTTGGCAGCCCTAGTCTGCTTCCTTGACAAAATTCCTGAGCAGGATATGAAGGCGATTCAACCCTCCTAATTGCTTCTCCTATCTTAATTGAGAGGTATGGAGAGAATAAGATGCATCTTGAAGATATCCGTGATTAAATTCCCCCCAGAAAGAGGCAAAGAACAATAAAGCAGGGGGGAAACATATAGAAATTGTTGTTGTTGTTAGTTGCGAAGTCGTGTCCGACCCATCACGACCCCATGGACAACATATAGAAATATGTCTCTATATAATGGAGGCACTTCTTTAAAAGTATCAGCTGCACCAAGGTGGAAAGGAAATTGCTCCTTCGTAGCTTGTTTTTTTTTAACAGCCCAGGAATTCAGGGATGGCAAAAGAGGATTTCCTCTTTCAGTTTCCTCTTTCATCTCATACAATTATTGTACAGTGATTTATTTCAAGGGTACCTTCCACTCAGCCTCCGCCTTTCTCTCTTCCTGAATGTCCTTTCTTATGGGAATTCCAAATTTCTTTGAGGTTGAATTGATTTTGGATTATCACTTGAATCCCAGACATGAACCAATTTCCAGGGACTCCTATATCCATTATGAAAGGCCATATTTGTTTTCACCTTCCCGCTTTTTCCTCTTCAAGGGCAGTGTTTTCCTATAGTATAGCCTTTTCTCTCCTTATCCTCTTGTTTGTCACTTTATAAGCTGTTCATATTAGAATACCAGTGGCTTTGCTTTGGGAGGTTCATGTGCTGTGCCTCACTTTTCTCCTGGCATGGTTTATAGATGGCATTATGCTAATCCAGTGGTTCTCAACCTTTCTAATGCCACGACCCCATAATACAGTTCCCCATGTTGTGGTGACCCTCAATCACTTATACATCACCGGGTGCCAGGGGCCTGGCCAAAGAAAAGGAGGAAAAAATGGCAGACAGCCTTGTTTGGTGACCCCCGTGAAATGGTCGTTCGACCCCAAATGGGGTCCCGACCCACAGGTTGAGAACCACTGTGCTAATCCTTTCTCTTTTCTCCCTCCTGGTTTTTCCACTATACAGAAAAGAGACAATAAAAGGAAACAAAACTACTGTCAAAGTTTTAAATTAAACACCTATTTTTACAGAGTAGATAGATCAGATGTGTTCTCAGTTCTAGATGATAACAAGCCGGTAGATTTAAAATTTTTAAAAAAGCAATTTGTGTAGTTTGTGAAGAAGGTGAGGATTTTTTTTTTTTTTTTTTTTTTACATACAGTAGTTTTTTAAATGGAAGTTGGAAGCGGGCCTTGTAGAGATGTTAGAGCCAGTTTGGCATAGTGATTAAGCTGCTGGCCTAGAAACCAAGAGTCTGAATTGTAGTCCCGCCTTAGGCATGGAAGCTGGCTGGGTGACTTTAGGGCTAACCATTCTCTCTTAGCCCAACTCACCTCACAGTGTTGTTGTTGTTGTTGTTGTTGTCATGGGGAAACTAAGAGGCACCAGGAAGAGCTATTAAGTATATACGTTGCCTAGATGGATGAATAAATAGAATAAAAATATAATAATGTTGCAGATTCAAATCTGCAGGAGTAAGTCATCTGCATTAGCAAAGATGGAGTTTGATGACTTGAAAAACTTCCAACTCTGTGATTGTTAATGGTTCCTGCACTGCATGTTTCCTATTATTTCTTGAGTTAAGGTGGGGGGAGAGAACAATGCATCTACACCTTGTTTTTTTGGCCATCGTTCCAAAGATGAAAAGTGATTTCACCCCAAGTTTTTTGCTTCAAGAATTCTTTGACAGTTAATCCCTTTTCAACTGTACTTGACCCCTTAATGGGTAGTTTATATATCTTCTAATTCTTACATCACACGTACTTCTCCCATCTTATGTAGCTGAGCTGTGCAGTCTATTCTTTAATAGCTTTTTAGGGGTTTTTGCTATTTATTTGGATTATTTAATGTCACGTTAAGTAGCTTGCCAGGAAAAAATTACACAATCGCTTACAAAATGTGTTAGTCCAATTAATGTGTGAGGAGGCCTAGACTAGATAATATCTTGCCTTGCCAGGTACAAAACTCTTTGGTCCTCTGGAGTTAATTGTGTTATCAATTTAATAGTTCTGTTGGGTTGGGTAAACAAATTCCTGTGGTGTCTTGCACTGAATATTACTGTTGCTGTATAGTTTGGTTTTATGTCCTGATATAAATCCTGATTTCTTCCTGATAATGATTCCTGGAATCATGATTCCTTGGAATTGCTATCAGAATGGAGAAATGAACTGCAGTTCAAGTGCATGTTTTTGCCTATTCAATTGACACAGAATTGCATGTATTCTTCCATAGTTTCTGGCGTTTAAAAATAGTTTTTTACCCAGCAATAACCATACATTTTCACCAATGCTGTACTTATTTATCAATAAGTATTAAGATACCAAGATAGGGGCTATGGCGAGGTCAGGAAATAATTCGATTGCCAAGTATTTTACTTTTCAGAACCTTCTAAATCGCTTTTAATACAAAATATTGCAATATCTTTTGGTAGATTTTTTTCCCATTTCTTGATATTGTCTACTATATTTCAGCTCTAGGCATTGTTTTCTGATATTTTCTGGTGAACCATCTGCAATTTCAATGTATTCCTTTCTTGCACTTAAAACAATGTATGTTTTCTTTCGACAAATTACTTGTATAGGATGCCCAATTTTGTTGGAAAAGCATGGATTTGAATTTCTTACTTTGGTCATATAACAAATCTTCGACGCCTCTTTAAAAATGCTGTTTTAAAAACATTCTTCAGATTTTATGGGATGTTTGCTTTGTTTATATGAGATAGGAGAATTTGTGCCAAGTCTGAAATGACTGAAAACATTCTCTTTTATTGCTCTTCAGACCCTTTAACAATATGGTATAAAGCTTTAACACATTTGTGGCCTTTTTATTGAGGCAACAGATTTGTAAAGGGTTTGATTGGCTTTTGGCATGGTGATTAGTAGAATGAAGTTTTTCCTTTGCACTAAGAAGTCCAGAAATATGATTTTTTTTTAAAAAAATTGTACTTTAAACTGTAAAATACAGATTGCATATGAGAATACTTTCTTTCAAGTGAAGAAATTGGCATGTTAAAGGAAAAGTTAATTGTCTCTGATGTAGCTAGCAGTTTTCAGAAGAAATAAAGGAATGACAGAGGTTATGGGATGAGTAAGGCAGATTACCAGAATTCTTGTTATTGTAGTAAAAATAAGAAGTTGCCTCCTACAAAATTAAGCCATTGGGATATCTGAGAGTGGCTGCAAATAAACTTGTGCCAAGAATCAATAAGTAATATAAATGAAAACTTGAAATTATAATATTGAACCATAGAATAATAGGTTGGGAAATCTTGGAAATTCTAGTCTAGTCCAATCCCTGCTCAAGCTGGAGACCTTATAGCTGTTTGATAGCATTATTGATTTTCTGTTTTACTTTATGACTAATTTACTGTATTAAAGTTGTACATTAACTGTATACACCAGTGGTTCTCAACCTGTGGGTCGGGACCCCATTTGGGGTCGAACGACCATTTTACGGGGGTCGCCAAACAACGCAGTCCACCATTTCCCCCCCCCCCCCTTTTCCTTAGCTGTGCTACTCCCTTTTATTCTATTGGCTTTCAAAAGCCAATAGGAATTGTCCAGGCTGTCTCTGCCCTGCTGAGCCCACCAAAAGTCCCATTCTGCAAACGGTGCTGCACCAGTTGAGTAGTCCTCGACTTACGACCGGTTGAGTAGTCCTCGACTTACGACCGGTTGGGGGTTGCAACATTAAAAAGGTTGAGAACCACTGGTATACACGCACACACACACACACACAGAGAGAGAGAGAAATATATGCAAAACATGCACATAACGCATTTGAACTTCCTGTGTTGTAAACTATATCAAAAACAAAAATCTCATTGCTATTGCTACTAATGTAACCATTTTAGGAGTGAATATTTTACAAATGAGTTCACTTCCTTTCAGAACTGTTATACAAGCCTGAAAAGAGTCTTGTAAAAATGGACGTAAGCCTGTCATTTAGCATTTAATGTCTCAATTTCAATTACTGTATGTGGGAACTGCTGCAAAAGAGCAAAGGGCTCCACCTTTCAAAATGCTATTTAAATGCTGTTTAAATAAGTTGATTAATAAATGGCAGGACATCCTCTGCTCCCTAGAAATAATTGCAAATGGTGGCATAGCATTGCATTAAAATAAGCACAAAACTAGCTTCATAATTGAGGTGCTTTGGATACGAGTCTAAATTCCCCAGGTTAAAATGTGAAGTGTTTTTAAAGTGGAGAATTTTAAAACGCAGCTTGTAATATAGACATAGAATGATTTGGTAAGCCCTATCAAAGTTTTATTTAGACAAAATCCCACGGACAACAGGTAGTCCCCAACTTAACGACCCCAATTGAGCCTGTTGCTAAGCGTGACCGTTAAGTGAGTTTTGCCCCATTTTACGACCTTTTGCCACAGTTGCTAAGTGAAGCCCTGCGGTTGTTAAATAATACCGTTGTTAAGTGAATCTGGCTTCCTCATTGACTTTACTTGTCAGAAGATGGCAAAGGGGGATCACATGATTCCGGGATGCTGCAACCGTCATAAATATGAATCGGTTGCCAAGCGTTTGAATTTGGATCACCTGACCACGTGATGAACATAAAATTGATTTGCATTAATATGAAGATAATTTTTATGCACATTGTTCTCCCCATGGATAAATAATGATGTAGATGCAGTTGAAGGGGCTTCTGTCTAATAGATTTATATGGAATAGCTTAAAAATAGTATAGCAGAGGGCTTTTGTTTTAAGTAGGATACCTATGCTTTGTTGTGACTTGTTTCTCGTGTGAGTTGCTGCTGCCAGTAAAGTGATATACAATCTGCTTTTGTTTTGTAGGTTGATTTTGCATTGGACTTCATATTTGCTTAGATGGTCTGGAGTTTCCTGTTCTTAAGAATAAGTCTCATACTACACAGGTGGGTTTTGTATGCTTGGAATGCATTGTTTGTACAGTATTATAATATATTAACTAGCTATTGTTTCTGCCAAAGGACCAAGCCAAGCAAACCAGGAAGTAATGGAATATTCCCTCTCTGCCTCTTTCCTGTACGTGCTTATAGTCTTCTGGTTAAAATTTGGGCCAGGATACTATATCAAATAGGATTACAAAATTAGAGAGTGTAATTCAGATTACACATTTAAAGACAGACTTGATATCCTAGCGCAGGGGTGTCAAAAACTGCCGGCCCGCGTGCCGGATGCGTCATGGCGAAACCGCACCCATCCCATTGCCGGCAATGGAAAAAAAAAGTCACGATACGTCATGACACATCATGTGACGTAGTGAGTTTGACACCCCTGTCCTAGTGAAACATCCTTTTTTCCATTCCCCCCCCCACTGGATTAAGGTTTGAAACGAGACATAGTTTATTAGTCATAAAGTAAAACAGATAATCTACAGTACTATCAAACACGTGCGGCCGTTGTATAAAAAAAAACCTGAAGAGCATTGATAAAAATGTGGGTTGCTCCTGTACGGTGCATAGTCATTGCCTGTGTGACTAATATCTCCAACAGAAAAAAGGAAGGTGGTAAAATATATTCAATCCATTTCTGAGCCGTTCTAAACGGCCTTCCTTTTGTAAGGGATTACGTGCATTTTATTTAGCACCTTTTTGTAATGGGAATGTGTGGATGAACTTTGGGGGATGAAGGGGAAGAGATGCTGTCTAGAAAACAGGTAAAAGAGACAGGAGCCCCCGGTTGGCTTAACAGTCAGAGAAAGAAAAGTAGGGAGGACCTGCCCTAATGGATCCAGCAGTTAAAAAGTTTGTACTTTCAGACTTGCAAAATAGATTTGTCAACCCTCCCAGGTAAACCAGAGGGGAAATACAGCTGGATGAACTAAATCTATTCCGTTCATAGAATTTTGTTAAGTCTAACGCAGTGGTTCTCAACCTTTTTAATGCCGCGACCCCCCCCCAACCGGTCGTAAGTCGAGGACTACTCAACCGGTCGTAAGTCGAGGACTACTCAACTGGTGCTGCACCGTTTGCAGACTTGGGACTTTTGGCAGGCTCAGCAGAGCAGAGACAGCCTGGACAATTCCTATTGGCTTTTGAAAGCCAATAGAATTAGACTCTATTCAAGAGAGTCTGTTCTATTGGCTTTCAAAAGCCAATAGAATAAAAGGGAGTAGCACGGCTAAGGAAAAGGGGGAAAAAATGGCGGATTGCGTTGTTTGGCGACCCCCGTGAAATGGTCGTTCGACCCCAAATGGGGTCCCGACCCACAGGTTGAGAACCCCTGGTCTAAAGGCACAAATTTCCTGCCAGCTCTTTTAACTGCTTGATCGGTTAGGGAGGGTCCTTCCTAAATTTCTTTGTCGGACCCATAAGCCACTGGGAGCTCCACCCTCTCTTGTCTGATTGTTTCCTAAGCAGCATCTCTTTCCCATGCTCCTTTCAAGGTCATCTAACATACCCCATTAACCTTCTCCAGTGGGCTTATCTTAATACAATTAATTGAATTTGTCTTTCAGATAAGGCTTCTTTCCTTGGTACATAGCTAAGCCACTGAAATGTAATAAGCAAATAAAAGATTTTCCAGTGGAGTAAATATTTTTCTCGGAATAAAAACTGCACCGTTTTAATCTAGAATGAAATGTGGGGTTCTGGGTAGTACTCTTAGATTGAAGAAGCTTTTATCATTTGAAAATGTGGCAGTAAAATGGATTCATTTATTTTTATCTCACCTGTATTATTTTTTATAAATAACTCCAAGTGGAGAATGTACTTGATACTCCTTCCTATTTTCCTCATCATAGCAGCCCTGTGAAGTGGGTGGGGTTGAGAGAATGGCCTAAAGCAGTGGTTCTCAACCTGTGGGTCGGGAACCCATTTGGGGTCGAATGACCATTTCACGGGGGTCGCCAAACAACGCAGTCCGCCATTTTTTTTCCCCTTTTCCTTAGCTGTGCTACTCCCTTTTATTCTATTGGCTTTTGAAAGCCAATAGAATAGACTCTCTTGAATAGAGTCTAATTCTATTGGCTTTCAAAAGCCAATAGGAATTGTCCAGGCTGTCTCTGCCCTGCTGAGCCCGCCAAAAGTCCCATTCTGCAAACGGTGCTGCACCAGTTGAGTAGTCCTCGACTTACGGCCGGTTGAGTAGTCCTCGACTTATGACCGGTTGGAAGGTCACGGCATTAAAAAGGTTGAGAACCACTGGCCTAAAGTCTCCCAGCCAGCTTTTACGTCTAAGGCAGAACTAGAACTCACAGTCTCCTGGTGATTGGCCCAAAGTCACCCAGCCAGATTTCACACCTGAGGTGGAACTTAACGGTCTCCCAATTTCTTGCCTTCAAAATAACCTTTGATATCAGATCGAGAGACTTCTTTCAGTTACGTGAATCAAACCTCCGATGCTGAACTGGACGAAGCTTCCTTGAGTTGAGTGGGCTTAGATTTGAAAGCTTTTTTTTTTTTTTAACTTGATAATTTAATAAAGGACTATTGCACCTCGTAACAATTTTGGTTGCCAAACATCTGTTTTCCAAACATGTTTTTTTTTTTTCTTTTTCAGATAGCAAGATGAGTTCCTTAATAGAAACCCCTGAGCTGCCGGCGGTGTTTGATGGGGTTAAATTGGCTGCTGTCGCTGCTGTTCTTTACATTATTGTTCGTTGCCTGAATCTGAAGAGCCCAACCGCACCTCCTGAGCTGATATACCAAGACACACCTTTAGCCCGCTTCCTAATCAAGTCGTGCCCTCTCCTAACCAAAGAGTGAGTAGCCTAGCCGTATATGGAACTATTTGGCTATTTTGTAATAGTAATAGTAGTAAAGTTGGAAGGGACCTTGGAGGTCATCTAGTCCAACCCCCTGCTCAGGCAGGAAACCCTACACCATTTCGGACAAATAGGCGTCCAGTCTCTTCTTAAAAACTTCCAGTGTTGGAGCATTCACCGCTTCTGGAGGCAGGTTGTTCCACTGGTTAATTGTTCTAACTGTCAGGAAGTTTCTCCTTAGTTCTAGGTTGCTTCTCTCCTTGATTAGTTTCCACCCGTTGCTTCTTGTCCTGCCTTCAGGTGCTTTGGAAAATAGCTTAATTCCCTCTTCTTTATGGCAGCCCCTGAGATATGGGAATACTGCTATCATGTCCCCCCTTGTCCTTCTCTTCGTTAAACTAGACATACCCAATTCTCGCAACCGTTCCTTATATGTTTTAGCCTCCAGTCCCCTAATCATCTTTGTTGCTCTTCCCTGTACTCTTTCTAGAGTCTCAACATCTTTTTTACATCGTGGTGACCAAAACTGGATGCAGTATTCCAAGTGTGGCCTTACCAAGGCATTGAAGAGTGGTATTAATACTTCACGTGATCTTGATTCTATCCCTCTGTTAATGCAGCCTAGCACTGTGTTGGCCTTTTTGGCAGCTGCAGTGCCCTTTTGATTTAGGGGTTAACGAGGTAAGAGGAAGCAAGGTACAAAACTGGAAGCCACCTCATCAGGTTAGGCTCTTTCTTGACGTCAAAAAAAGCCTTGCCTTACGAACCTCATCCTACACTAAGTGAAATTTGCTTTGCTTAATTAAAAGTGCCCGCTTTACAAAAGTCTATAAATCCTGGAGGGAGAGCCCAAAATTGATGTGGCTGAGGAAAACATTTGTTAAAGTGAGTTTTGCCCCATTCACTGGAAGTTTTTTAAGAAGAGACTGGACAGTCATTTGTCTGAAATGGTATAGGGCTTCCTGCCTGAGCAGGGGGTTGGACTCGATGACCTCCAAGGTCCCTTCCAACTTTATTATTATTATTAAGTGAATCAGTGCAGCTGTTAAGTTAGCAACATGGTAGTTAAGTGAATCTGGCTTCCTCATCAACTTTGCTTGTCAAAAGGTTGTAAAAGGGGATCACATGATCTTGGGACGCAGCAACGGTCCCAAATATGAAAAGGTTGCCAAGCATCTGGATTTTGGTCACATGATCATAGGGATGTTACAAAGGTCGTAAGTGCTCATAAGTTGCTTTGTTCAATGCCATTGTAACTTTGCACAGTCACCAAACAAACTGTGGGTAAGGTGAGGTCGACCTATACATCTGAAACCATCAATTCAGCCCGGATCAAGGTGTGGTTGAATTGGAGAAGCTGCAAAACCACTTCTTGGAAAAAAAAGCACTTCTAAAGGCCTATACCTGAAGTTGAAATTCAGGTAGGGACTAAATCGGCCAGTCTAATTATAGACTAAATTGTTTTGTTTTGGATATTTGAAGGAGCTGTACATATTTGCCTTAGGAAGTCTTGTGCAATCTCAGACTCCCTTTGTAGTCAGTTGCCAAGCCTCTGGTTTCTTTTCTTTTTTTCTTTTTTGCACCCTGTGCTTCTGAATGGCTGTGAAAATATGTCAGTAACACCTGTCTATTTCACATTCTGTCCTTGAACCATTTGGGAAAGGGGATAGATGTGATGTAGGTTAGGGCTGCAAATAATCCTTCTTATTACTATCACTTCTTACTGTTTGACAGTGGTTTTTATAATGTGTTCTGTAAGATCTTCCAAGGACTTACTTTAGTCTTAACCTGATGATAATGTTCACTTACAGTGCATGTTTTCGAGTATTTTGCAGTGCTTCACTTAGGGCATTACTCAAGAGATGCTTATGATATGAATGCTGCTGTGGCAGTTTAAGAAAAAAAAGGGGTAATTAATTAAAAACAAAAACTTACCCATTATTTAAAAATGTCCTGGGTCTCTTCAGATGCAACCCTTACGTCACCTTGTGTAAATAGTTTGTGCTTTTATGTTTTATGTTTTCATATCCTGAATAGTGATTCCCCTGTGCCCCTTTGGAGAAAAACAAACTGTTGGTGCTTCCCCCCCCCCGCTGAATATCTCCCATTGATCACCGTTTAGAATTTAAGCCTCAACCAGCAGCCCTCTTCAGACATTTTAAAACTCATTCCACTTAATATTGCATGACAAGAGAATAAGGCTATACGTTTTAATTCCGAGTAACAAAAGCCCCCTGAAGACACAGTCAGCTTGTGCAACTCACCCACTGTTTCTTATTGCCAGACAATGAATGCCTGCCTGGTGCTTTCTTTGGAGAAAGTTTACTAATTGGATTATCCAGTTTTGCTACCGATATCAAGAAGGTTTTCACTTGTATTGTGTGCTGGCAGAATACAGTCTGATTACTGCTTTTGCCCCACGGTAATCTGAGTGCATTGTGAAGAAAAGTTCCCTCCAGGCCTCTGAGTTTGGTGTGTAACCATATGCACACATGCAAATAACCCTATTCTCCTCTCCCATCTGTGCTTAGAAGTAAAAGGAAAGCAATGTTGGTTCTTTGGGTGGTTGCTGATTTGCAAACCCACACTTTATGCTAACTTGTTATTTGGCTATTGTGTCTGAATTCATGGAACACTGAACCACAGGGAAATGCTCCACTGCTTCAGGGAGGCTGTTTAGCTCTGATTTTGTATTATACTTCTACAGGTTTTTGTGCTATATCAGTACTTGTCTTACTTCTTTACTTTGCTGACTACTCCTATTAGTTATATTATCTTTTTTTTAAAAAAAATTTTTTTTGATGTAAGGGAGCCATGCCAGGAAGTATTTTAGTTCTAAGGTATAATATACTACTAAAGGTAAACAAATTGTCATTAATTCTGCAGTTAATATCAACATAATGTAAAAAATTAACACTAATAATAATAATAATCAAAACTGCAGATATGACGTGTAAAGTTTATCTGTTCCCCCCTCAGAAATATTGAAGCTGATGAGGTATGATGTTCTTTGGGAAACACATACATACACACAAAAGAGGGATGGGAAAGCATCAAATAGCTAGGAAATAAAGAGCCATTTTCTCCAGAAATGAACCAATTACTTTTTAACTTTTCTGTATCCTCAGGAACAAGTAATTCTTATGACATCATGAGTAGAAGTCAGCATATTCTGCCCTTTCCCAGAACATTGAACACAAAATTCCTACCCTAACCCACAAGTAAAGGCACGATATTATGTTACGTTTGCTCATCCATAGATCTGGAAGACCTGCTTCTCATAAATATTTTTTCAAGGAACCAATTTTGTTCCTGAACAATATCTGCATTATACAAGTAACTGATGCTAAACTTCTGTCCCCTCCAATGGGTTTACATTCAGCTAAATCTTTTCCTTGTGAACTAGCAAAACAACAACAACAACAAAACACCAACGTCCAGCAATATGTTGTATAACTTTTTAATTAGCTGGATCTGTTGTAATGGGTTTGTACTTAAAAACCCAAGACTTTGACAGATAAAGTAATTCTAGGAGTTTTTAAAACACCTGCATTTAGACAGCTTCAGAAATGACAAATGATACAAAGTGTGGAACAGGGAAAAAAACTTGCTGCGATTAAATTTGGGGCAGAATGCATGGAATTTTAATTGCTGTGTTTCATGGTGGGAATTCCAAGGATCTTATTGAAGCTTAGGAGATTTTACATACTTCTTCTAGCTTGATCTAACAAATGGATAACAACACATGTAGGTCAAACTGTACTTTTCAGTTCTAATAAAATCAGCTTGTGAAGCAGTCAAGTTTTTTCAAATAGGCACATGAAAAGTAGCATTCTCAGGTCACAGTTGATGGGATTTAATTCTCTTTCCACCAACTCAGTTATTACATCAATCTGGCTGTTTGTTCTGGGTCACCTCCAATTCATTCAACAATAGTTAATACTGGTCATAACGTAATACATCTGCAAACAGCATGCAGCAAAGGTCTGAATATCCCTAGCATAATTAGCAAGATAGTGTTGTTCCACCACTCCCCCTTAGCAGAATACTTGAATAATAGGGATGTGCCAAACAAGGGGTTCCAAGCATGATTCACTGACTTTTTGGAAGCCACCTGGATTGAGGTTCTTGATATCCGTGTGGCATTCAAGATATCAATGCCCCTTGATGATATTTCAGAAATCTTGAAAGACTTGACTGTTCTGGTTAGGGTGCTTGAGACTCTGGTAAGGTTATTTGTAGGTATGTTAGCCCAGTGGTTCTCAAATCTTTTTAATGCCGTGACCCCCCAACCAGTCGTAAGTCGAGGACTACTCAACTGGTGCAGCACCGTTTGCAGAATGGGACTTTTGGCTCTGCCCTGCTCAGCAGGGCAGAGACAGCCTGGACAATTCCTGTTGGCTTTTGAAAGCCAATAGAATTAGACTCTATTCAAGAGAGTCTATTCTATTGGCTTTCAAAAACCAATAGAATAAAAGGGAGTAGCACAGCTAAGGAAAAGGGGGAAAAAATGGCAGACTGCGTTGTTTGGTGACCCCCGTGAAATGGTCATTCGACCCCAAATGGGGTCCCGACCCACAGGTTGAGAACCACTGGGTTAGCCAGACTTGTCAGTGAAAGATGTATGAATGTCTCTACAAACAAATAGGATAGGATTACAATCCTAGTGATCCCACCGCCTTAACTTTATTGCAGTCAGAGATTCCATGACATCACAAATTCCTTGGATAAGTGACCAGCTCTTTTTCTCTTTTTTGTTCCTGGTGTCTTCTGCAGGCTCTTTCATTCCTTTTTGTATGCATGCCACTCTATTACCCACCGAGCATTTCTATATTCCAACTGTCTCAACTTTTATTGCCCTTTCATATATTTTACTAAAGTTTATCCTAATGTAAAACACAAAGAGAAATGAAACAAAGTTAAAGAAAAATGAGAGGTACGGAAAGAAACTGACTTCTGATTTTTTTTAATGCAACAGAAAACAAAAACAAAAAAAGTTACAGTCAACCCTTTGCTTCCTATTTTTCTATGACAATGTTTCAAGCCATTTCTATATCAGCGTTTGAAGTCATTTCTATAACAATGTTTCAAGCCATTTCTGTAACAAGTATTTCAGCTTTTCCTCCCGATAATGAGGATGCTAATTACTTTACAAGCTGCATTCAGGTTCTTGAGCAACCTTGACTAGCTGTTATTTGACAGAACATTGCTGCATGAAGTGCAAGAAGTGCCAGCGTGACTCTCCTGCCCCATAAATTTGATCTAATGTGGAGCAGTACAATTAGCCGCGGTGCCAATGTCCTTACTTGCACTCAGTCCAATTTGCAGGATCCAAAGTTTTTGTGGATGGCAAAAGCAGCATCTTATTGTTGTGACTCAGGGCCCATCTGTTTGTATATGTGTGCATCATCCCCAACACATGTACCGAAAAGATGGAATAATGCTACTTCCATCATTTATCCCTCTTGCAGATGCCTTTATATATGGGATGTGTGTATGCATGTGTGTGCATGCCCGCCTCCTGCAAAATGTGTAATCCTTTCAGTGAGATGCACCAATCCAGTATGCATATGCTTCAGGTTTCCCTGAAACCCTTGCATTGCTCTAAGGAGAACTTAATACATATTGAAGAGGTTATGCTTTGGATTATTTCATAATACTTCCAGAAACTGAGACTTTTTTCTCTGGGCCAAGGAGTTAGTCCTGAAAATATTGTACTATTGGTGGGTCAGTTGACTGATTGGTCCTGTGCAAATTAGCATGTCTATTATTCAATTTTCAGCCTTAAAATTAGCAAGAAATTCCAAAATGCCAAGGCTTCTGGCGGTTTTCATATATTTCCCCTCCATCTGTAGCCTATGGTGAGCTCCCCTGTGTCCTGAGTGCTTAGTCTGTGTAACTCCAAATATCACAGAATGCCTAGAGGAGACTTCCCTTTCCACTCGTTGAAAAATTTCAACATCTCAGTACTGCAGTAAGGGTGGAAACATTTTGAAACATGTTCTACAGATAGAATGGGAGTGTAGATGTGATTTCTCCACCTCCTACTTGTAAATATCCCAGAGGCTTTTGATTGAGCTCTGTAAGAGGCTAAATGGCTCCTGACTTGATCAATGGGGCCATTCTTATGTATTTCTTAATAATTAACCTCTAAAGAAAGCTAGTCCTGTTTGATAGTTTGGAAATGCTAGCCAGGTGTTTTTCTGGCAGGATGGTACTGTTGAAAGCGATATCCCTCCATTTTTAACCTCTTCATTTCCTCTTCTTTGTCATTTCTCCTTTAGTATATCTGGAACCATAAATTTAAGATAAAGGACCATCTGTTTTAGCCTCAGTTATGGCACTTTCTTGATGAGTCTAATACATAGGTTGTTTGCTCTCTTAAAAGATGCTGCCTTTGGAAGTGTTTTTTCAAAGGTCACTAAATTATACCCAGTCCTCAGATTTGCCATCTGTTGCCCCATGGCTTTTAACTCTGACCTCTGCTATTTATTTGAGCTATCTAGATTGTACATTAACTTAGGTAAACATTTGTGTCCAAGATGGCTTGCTAACAAAGATCTACCTTTATTTATGTGGCTTGTCTAGAAGTAAACAATTGTGTCCAAAGTGGCCTGTTAATAAATTAAAGATCTTTTGTTTAGATTGCTTTTACAGAGGTAACCATTTGTGTCCAAGGCAGCCTGCTAATCAATTAAAGATACTTATTTGTTTGTTTGTTTATATTGCTTTTATGAATAATGTATATAGAATTGTAACTCTGAATTATTACAATGATATCCTGTACTTTGGTTATTCCTTTATTTTCTCCTCTATTCATTTCATTTTTTTAAAAGCACTTTTTATGTATGTGGTTCCTCACCACCACCTTTCTCTGAAAATGTAAGTATTTGCACCATCATTAAAGATGTGTCTTAAGGCAAAAAGCGCATGTTTGCAATTTGTTTCAATCCATGCCTTTCCATTTTCTCTTTAGGTACATTCCACCTTTGATCTGGGGTAAGAGTGGGCACATTCAGACTGCCCTTTACGGGAAGATGGGGAGAGTAAGTTCGCCACATCCTTACGGGCTTCGCAAGTACCTCACCATGTCAGATGGCGCCACAGCCACTTTTGACCTCTTTGAACCGCTAGCTGAAAACAGCAGCAAAGGTTAGCCTGTGCCTATCTGTTATTTCTCTACCCGGAAGTTTGAGTAAATATTTGCAGAAAGTACCGGCTGCAACATTTACTCCCACGGAGAGACTGGAGATTTATTGGCTTTATAATTCTGGCCTGAGTTTCAGCGTTTGGTCTGGTGGCCTGACTTTGGAACCTCTGGCCCAAGAGCTGGCTATGTGGTGTGTACAAATAGAGATTATTTTTATAGCTCTCAGATAAGAGGCATTGAGTTCTTTTTTAGGGCTAGAATGTCAAATGTTATTCCTGTTACTCATAACGATCACTCTGTGAGATAGGCGGCTATATACAGATAGTCCTTGACTCGCCACAGTTCATTTAGTGACCGTTCCAAGTTACGACGGCAGTGAAAAAAAAGTTATGGCCATTTGTCACAATTAACCACCTTTGTAGCACCTCCGTGGCCACGTGATCAAAATTCAGACGCTTGGCAACTAGTTCGTATTTTACGACCGTTGCAGTGTCCCGGAGTCACGCAATCCCCTTTGGTGACCTCCTGGCAATCAAAGTCAGTGGGGAACCCGGATTCGCTTAAGAACCAGATTCCTAACGTATCAACTGCAGCCATTCACTTAACAACTGTGGCAGGAAAGGTCGTAAAATGAGGCAAAACTCACTTAACAAATGCCTGGCTTAACAACAGACATTTTGGGCTCAGTGGTGGTCGTAAGTTGAGGACTACCAGTCAATCAATCAATCATGCTTGGGATTAAGGTCTGTTAAATAGACTGTAAAGACTGGGATCCCCCCCACCCCACCCTGTTGAGGAGCTTAATTAAATCTGAAACCTGTTTTGTTTGCTTGAAAGAATTCCCCCTAACGTTATACGCGAAGTTGTCCGTTGGAAGGGAAAAGGCGCCATTGGGTTTGAAGTATCCAGGTGTCTTGGAAACGTCTGCCCGATGTCTAAAATATGTTCCTCTCCAGGGCATTCCTTTTGCCAAAATAGCACGTGGCTCGTTCTTGTTTGCCACTGCAACAGAAGCTTGAACAGCAGAGGCTTTCCAAAGTAACACTCTGCTCTTACTGTAGCTTAATTATTGCTTTGAAAGTATTATTTCGTCTTCCCCCAAAGGATACCTTACTTTCCATTTGTCACACAGGCGTGAAAAATACAGACCAAAAACAAATCCCTTCTCATCCAGTCTTCTTTCTCCTTCTCCTAAAGAATATTCTTGAGAAGGGAAGATGTCATGAGGCATAAGTAACACAAGCCTCATTCATAAGAGGTTCAGAGCAGCTAAGCTTACTGGCAGCTTACCCCAAGTTGCTTTAAGACCACCACCTCCAATTTGAAGCTTCTCAGAGGTAGTGGAAGAATTCTCTGCTCACAGAGCCAGTGACTGTGACAGCTTAAAGTTAGATTTCCCATTTGACAGGCGTCAACTTAGGAAAACTGGTTTAAAGCCTTTCTGAGAAAAAACAGGATAAACATTCTGGGGGCAGGGGTGCATGCATGCTTTTATTTTCTCCTGGTTGCTGCTTGCTTGCAGAAATTAACTGAAAAAAGCCTAATGAACCTGGCTATGAGATGAATAAAGAGAGGGGATTTAAAAAAATTCTTTCTGGAATTGTAACAACTAGTCACATTTTGAGAAGTTGTCTTTGTCAGCGACTGCTAATTGGAGAAGTTGTTTTCAGTGATGCTTGCAGTAACTTGTCAAAATAAATTCTGGGTCATTTTAAAGAGCTTGGGTAAACAAACTGAAGTTGCGTAATGGATGTCATGTTTCCTCTCTCTGTATTGTACTGTAGCATAATAAATTGCCACATTCTGAGCAAAAGTATGTGTGTATGAGAGAGGGAGGGAGGGAGGGGTTGGAGAGAGAGAGAGAGAAGAAATGTAAAATTCGCTTTGTTCTGAAATTAGTCTCCATAGATTAAAGTTAGTGAATGAAATGTCATTTTGCATCTTCCATATCCAACTTCTTAAAATTCTCCCTCTCCGATGTTTTTATTCTCCAGAAGATATCACAATGGTCATCTGCCCTGGAATAGCTAATCACAGTGAGAAGCAGTACATCCGAACCTTTGTTGACTATGCTCAAAAGAAGGGCTACCGATGCGCTGTGTTAAATCACCTCGGGGCCCTTCCAAATATTGAGCTGACATCGCCACGCATGTTCACGTATGGTAAATATTGGCTCACTCTTCCGTCTTCTCCTGTCAGCGTTAGTTCCTTGCATGCCTCTGTTCCTAGTGTCCAAGGTACGGGTGGGTCTAATTTGATCAATGGCTCAGCTCACACTTTTACAGTAAGCCCTAATGAGCTTTGCTTGGTTTGGTCTGACCATGTGAATCCAACCAGGATTGTGGTCTGTTAAAAAACATAAGTATATGTTGTTAAATCATGCTGAGGAACAAAATATGGCAGAAGGTTAATTCAATGAAAAAAAGACTTTTTTTTCAACATGGGCATGTTTCTATATGCATGAAGAGAAAGGACAGAGAGAGCTGTTTTCTCGTAGGAATATACATGCAGTGCTATAATCAGTTCCTTTAGCTTGACTCAGGTAGTGCAAGAAAACAGAGTGAGACGTAGCTTACTATAGGACTCTTGGAGAGTAGCCCAAGCTGATACATCTTAAAACCCAAAGGATAGGAGTTAGCACCAAAGGAAGAATTTGTTTTTCCATTGAAATCTTGTTGGTTCCTGCCATTCTTTGTATCCTGTTGTTTATGATGAGTAGTTCAAATCTCTAGTGTAAAGCCTTTGGCATCACTTTTTTTAAAAATATAATTATAGTCTGTAGCCTCAGGAGATTATTCTGGAGTGTTATTGAGCAATCAAAATGTTACTGTAATGTTCTGCCTTATCTTCTATTTCTCTTATGCTTTATTTACCTATACTCAGGTTTGACACTCGAAAACAAAATCCTGGTAGAAAGGATTTTGCCCGTTATGCACGTGAATAGATAGCAGCTTGATTCCAGCCCTAAAACATTGTACATATAACTTTCCAAAAGTTCACACCTTTAAGCTTGAGGACCCTGTTGTTCTCCAGATGTTGATGAACTTTGGCGTCAAGGAGCTGAAGCCAGTATGGCCAGTGCTAAGGAATGTTGGGCCTTGGCCATATCTTGGGTTTCCCACCTTACATATTGATCAAATGTATTAATATTGCTCCTGATGTGGACTTCAATTCCCAGAAATGTCCAGCCAGCATGTCTTTCTTTTCACTGTTTCATAGGTTGCACCTGGGAATTTGCTGCTATGGTGAGCCACATCAAGAAGACATATCCTCAGTCCAACCTTGTTGTTGTTGGCTTTAGCCTTGGTGGAAATATAGTGTGCAAATATCTTGGCGAGTCCCACATTAACCAGGACCGGGTGCTCTGTTGTGTCAGTGTGTGTCAGGGGTATAGTGCATTGAGGTGAGTTGACTTCTGAGCAGGAGGACAGTATAGTTGCTACTGTGTTTCCCCGAAAATAAGACTGAGTCTTATAGTAATTTTTGCTCCAAAAGACTCACTAGGGCTTATTTTGCAGGGGAAATACGGTCTTATTTTGGGGGAAATATGGTACTAAATGCATCCGTTTGACTGACAATCTTATCTGGGGCTTAGTTTGGGGATGGGGCTTATATTACGAGCATCCTAAAAAATCATGCTAGGGCAGTGGTTCTCAACCTGTGGGTCGGGACCCCATTTGGGGTCGAACGACCATTTCACGGGGGTCGCCAAACAACGCAGTCCGCCATTTTTTTTCCCCTTTACCTTAGCTGTGCTACTCCCTTTTATTCTATTGGCTTTTGAAAGCCAACAGAATAGACTCTCTTGAATAGAGTCTAATTCTATTGGCTTTCAAAAGCCAATAGGAATTGTCCAGGCTGTCTCTGCTCTGCTGAGCCCGCCAAAAGTCCCATTCTGCAAACGGTGCTGCACCAGTTGAGTAGTCCTCGACTTATGACCGGTTGAGTAGTCCTCGACTTACGACCGGTTGGGGGTCGCGGCATTAGAAAGGTTGAGAACCACTGGGCTAGGGTTTATTTTCCAGTTGGGTCTTATTTTGGGGGAAAACATGGTAGGTGCTTTTGCTGAGGGTAGAGGAAGTAAATCATTTCTACGTATCTTGTACTCAACTGTCTCTTTCTACTCCTTTTGCAAGATTCTGTCTTTTTGGAAATTATGACATTAGGAGGCAACCTTCAGCAGTAATCCCAAATCTATATCAAATGCAATAAAGCAAAGACTGCAATCAGACAAGAAAATCTAAATATACTACAGATAGGAAATTATTATAGAAATATAAAAGGAATTAACAGATCTGAAAGAGTAAAGGCAGTTGCCTGCTGCTGGGAAAAAAAAAAACTATCTCTTTAGGAGGGTATTTTATTTTTCTTGGGCAAAAACTCAAGTGATCTTTCAGTCTGGTTTGGTTCAGTCCAACACTAACAGAAATACAACCATTATCTTAATCTGTCAAGTATTGGTTTATCATCCCAATACACGTATTTCATGGGTTAAAAACTTCTCTTGTGTTTGTTTTCAATTTTAAAATGGCTAATTTGGTCCCAAATGCTATTGAAATCCAATGCTACAACTCCATCGTAACTAAATAAAAAGTAGACTGGCCAAAATTAAGGGGCTTTATTTTAGAAAGATTAGACAACATATAGATCTTATTAGTGTACCAAAAGCACATTAATTATCCGGTAGAATTGAGCCATATCCATATTAAAAAAAAATATCAACTCAGTTCGACTCTTAGTTTCTCACAGATTTTATATTTCAGGCTACAAAGTAGCCGAAATTTTGTCCAGATTAAATCTTGAAAAGCAATAAGATTAGAACAGTGCAAGCTTTATATTTTACATCTTATTTTGTCCCTCCTCAGACTTATCGAATTGAACTGGAGGAAAGTGGGAGGATACTGTACTTAGTGGGAAAATGGATCTGACACCTTTTTGCAAACATCTTGATAAGATGATGTTGCATGTTCCATACGTACGCAGTGAAGAGTTTGGAAGACCATAATATAACACAGAAATTTTTTTCCTTAAACCAAGTAATTGGTTTAAGTGATGATGTAATGTATTCCCTGCCCAAACCTGGTTAAATATCAAAAGAAGCTTTCAAATCAGGTTCTGTATTGATCTGTACCTACTTGGCCAACTTTTGCAATGTCTGATCCTTCAGCTGATTTTAGAAATGACACTTTGAGACAATATAGGACCGCGTACTCTTTTCGTAAATTTTTCTTTTGCAAGTTGGTTGGCAGCTTCGTATTCCTGTTTTTGAGGATTTTGTTCCCTCTAATGGTTGACTTTTTAATAGCACTTCTCTGTCATTGCCTAAGTTGTGGAAACTATGCCTAATCCTCAACACATGCCTCTAATGGAGTTTGCCCTCTGTGGTTGTTAAAAGAACACAGACAACATTGTTCACTAGGGCCTGGATTTGCCCCAAACCAGAAGTGTCAGTTTTTAGCAAAACTCTGCCGAAACTCGCTCATGTGATTGCAGGATGGCCATCAAGGCAGCCATGTCACTGAGGTACAGTCACATGATCGTGGGTGGGGTGACAGCCATCACTTCAGAATCGGGTCATACCTCCCCTTTTTCAGATAACTTGTAACTTCAGATGGTCGCTAAGTCGAGGACCACCTGTGTTGCTAGCCCCTAGGAAAAGATTTAAAGGAGTGATGTTGCAAATTAGCGTCTTGTCACCATAACCTTACAATAATTTTCATTAACTGGTTTTATTTATTTATTTTCCTCTCTACCATCGTTAGGGCACAGGAAACCTTCATGCAGTGGGACCAGTGCCGGAGATTTTACAATTTCCTCATGGCAGACAACCTGAAAAAAATCATCTTGTCTCACAGGTGTAGAAATATATCTTATTTTGCTCTAAATGTACGGCATGCTGTGTAGATGGATTGCAATTTTTACCACTCCAAGCTAGTTAGTTTTAATCAGGTTGGATAGATTATTTACTGGATTCATCTGGATGAAAACTAGGGCATTTAGCTTGAGAGATGGTCTGTTATGACCGGAGACTGGAAAATAGAATTTAAAAAAAAAAATCTTTTGGCACATACAGCAACTGTATGAAATACTAATAATTGTAACGGCTGCTGTGATTCCTCCTCAAGGCTTTCATAGCAAAGAGCAGTGGGGAAGGAAAATCTTTAGGGCATTAAGAGTCTCTTATGGTTTACAGGGTACTGAATCTCCTTAATTTGTCCCAGATATCCAAACATTTGGATAACTGCAGATATTTTAATCTTCCTCTTTTAAAAGAGTCCCCAGTCTTAAGTACAAGCAATCCTTTGCAAATCTGAAGGATATCTTGTTAATCTGCCAAAAACATTTTGTCTCCATAATAGATCTTTTGTGCTGTAGTGCAACCCCCGAGCCAAATTTCCCCAAATGTTTTTGTGCTCTACAAGTACAGAGAACAAAGCTCACACATATGGCCCACAGTTTTCCTTTTGTTCTCAGCTCTTTATTTCCTGCACAGTCAGGAGCACTAATGGTCTCTACTGTCCTATGCACCAAGCCAGATTTCTCTGCTGAACAACATATGTTGAAGTAACCATTCCAAGTGAATTATTTGATTGAGCAGCATTGTCATATCTCTGTAATTGTGTGGTAATTGATCACGGAGAAGAACACTAAGGGTACCTGTAACTCTAGCCCGATGCCTTGTTATTTGCAAAATGTCTATGACCCATTGTTGCCTGTGGGGGGAAAAAAAACACATTTTAAATAAGCTCTGCCTAGTTAAACAAAACATACCTTTTTTGGAAAGGCATCCTCAACTATGTTCACTTTTCTGTATTCCAAAATTTATCAGACAACATTCAGTTATTTTTTCTCATAGATTTGATTTTGTTAAATGCAAAATTCTTCAGCCAAAGCTAGAAGAATGAAGAATTTCTTTTTCTTTTTTACAGTTTTGAAATTGCATTTTTATTCTTACTGCTACTCAGTAAAGTTGAGGGATACATATGGTTTTTTTTGGGTCAGGTAAATATGTTTATCTTTAGAGGAATATTATGAAGAAACTCATTTTAAAGTCTCTGCCTAGAAATCTTAACAGTTGAACGGCAGTTTTGACTAGAGTCTTTCTGACCTAAGATGAGTTTTATAAACTCTAGATTTCTGATTCATTCTTCTAGCTTTGGCTGAATTACATTCTTCTCTTTGTAAAACTAACAAGCATACTGGTATCGAATTTCATGTTGGTTTTCCAAAGGACAAAATTTGAATGTGACATAAAATGGACAAGTCACACTACAATAAACGTGAAGATTTGTCTCTATACAGTATAGGAGCCCTAGTGACACAGTGATTAGAATGCAGTATTGCAAACTAACCTCTGCCCACAGCCTGGAGTGCGATCCTGACGGGGCCCAAGGTTGACTCACATTTCCATCCTTCCGAGGTCGGTAAATTGAGGAGCCTGATTTTGGGGGGCAACACGCTGACATTGTAAACCACCCAGAGACTGCGGTAAAAGCACTGTGGAGTGGTATACAAGTCTAAGTGCTATTGCTATTACTATCTATAAAGCCATTTTTTAGATAATCATGAGATCAAGAGTTAGCAAATACTGCTATCACTGTGATGCCTGTGATGGGCATAACAATAGCTTTTTTTTCCTGTGTATTTTAGACAAGCCTTGTTTGCTGAAACTACGAGAAAGGTACATAGTTTAGTGGAAACAGATCTAAGCAGACTGCACATGGCAACGTCTCTTATGCAGATTGATGACAGCATTATGAGGTATGCAAGAAAGTAGTATTGCTTACTTTTCTACATAAATGTTTTAGCATAATCTTGATTTCTAGAAATGAAGTTTCTGCTTAATATGACTGTACCTTAATTTTGGCCACCATTTATTGGGGGTTCATTAGAAGTTGCACCTGCTGCAGGATTTTTTTTTTTTAACTATAACTCTCAGTATGCTATAAATAGCAGTATTACGGTATATGTAAGTGGAGTTACCGGGATGAGTGGAATCATTAAGCTGTAAAGTTAAGATTCTTCTGCACTTCTGTAAATTTAGGATTTTGCTAGAAAAACGTACTATGTGTTAATTCAGGATTTATTCACTTTTGCAAATATTTTCTGATGCTTTTAAACATCTGCTTGGCGTACAGTTTTACTAAGGCCAAGTATAGAACTGTTTTGAAAGAACCCATACAGTCCAAGTTTACTTTATCCATGGATGCTATAATGTAGTAAGACAAGCATTCCAAGGTGAGTTGTTTATGAGTCATGCAAAACAAAATGTCATCAGTATGATAGAACCTTATTAATCGGTTAGGCAACAGACTTCTTTAATTGCGGATGAAAAAGAAATCTGACTTTTAGTTAGAAGATGGTCCATTTGAGCCGTATCTTTCATAACCTTGAACCCAGATTTATTTGGCAACAAGGAACTGGCATTCTAATCAGAATTAATTTACCTAGGCGTAGTTGATTCAACAGAAAAAAATATTTAATATATTAGGAGAGATTATCTAATTATCTGTCTATCTCTTCAAATTGGTTCTTGACTACTAGAGACTAGCTGGACAAGTTCTTGCAGTTTTCTTGGCAAAGTTTTCAGAAGTGGTTTGCCCGAACTTGCTGAGGACTTTCTAGAGTGACTGGCTGATTTGTGCCTAAGAAGTCATGGTTCACCCCCGTGTTTGACCACACATAGACCCACAGGTTTATTTTCCCATCATCAGTGATTCAGTTATAACTCGCTAAATCTTTCTCACCCTTCTGTTTTCTTTTCTTTTTCCCTGGTCTTAGAAAATTTCATGGTTACGGCTCCCTAAGAGAATATTATGAACAGGAGAGTTGTCTGCATTACTTGCACAGAGTGAGTTATCATAATATGTACTGAACATTGGTCGTTTTGGTTCTGTGGTTTAAAATGAAAAATGGTCTAAAATGAAAAAAAAAAAAAAAGATGGGGCAATAGACCATTTAGACTTGGTGTAGAAGATGGAGTGCAGTTTAAGAAAAGATGTATTTGGCCACGGGTATAATGCAGGTGCTCAAATAATTCTAGGAAGGATTTTATAGAGTCACCTTAAAAAGTTACATGTTTCTTGAGAAGAATACAGTGACATTATGGTAGTGTAAGGTAATGAAAATAGAAAGCAATAATGAAATTTTGGAACTGGAAATAACTTTGATTCAGACTTCTGAATAATTCACATGAGATTGCTCAGCACAAATTCCTAACTATTTTCCGTGACCCTCATGCTGATATACTAGGAAGCATTTGCCCCTGGAAAACATTCAATACAGTCTTTGCAAATTCTGTAATCGTTAACAGTCTTGCAGTTTATTCACATCAGGCAAGACCACAAATTGGCTTTTTCCTATGTTCTACCCCGATCCCTTCCCAGGGTTAAAAAAATCTTGTGGAAGAAGATAACATCACGAGGGCATATTTGTGAATTGGTTTGGATATAATTTTGGATATAGGCCCCTCTTTCACCCAACTTAGTTGAATACTGTTATGGTCTATGCCTAAAAGCTCTTCTTTTGACAATTCAGGGGATGTTTTTAATGTTTTTTAATGTTTATTATGCTGTAAGCCGCCAAAGTCATTCGAACCGAGATGGGCGGGAAATAAATTTAATAGATGAATAAATGCCATTTCAATGAACAGCAGAAGCGACTCAGAATTGTACTCTTTCCACTTCAGAAAATTCTATTAATCACACATAGGGTAGAAATCATGATGACTTTAGATAATCTCATAGATGACTTTAGCATAACTGTGATGGTCTAAGCGTTCTTCCTGAAACAATAACTAAAACATTGGGACAAATACAGGCTGAACTTTATTCTTAATCCATGACTTAGCTTCCCCAAAAATATCCTTGTTCTCTAAGTCAACATTGTTAACAGGATGTGAGTTTCTGTATATTCAGTTCTCCCTAAGATGTGGCACTCCCATTAGGACGTTTTGAGTAGGATGCATGTTTTTGAATGAAATAAATCAGTCAGAACGCACATCGTGCTCTTTTCTCTCTTCAGATCTTTGTTCCCCTCTTGCTAGTTAATGCTGCTGATGACCCATTGGTGCATGATAGCCTCTTATCCATCCCAAGAGCCCTCTCAGGTAAGGCCAGGCCTTGGCTCAAACTTTTCTCTCCAACCCTACCGCCATGTAGAATATACCCCAACGAATCAAGATAAGCTCCATATTCTCCCTCTTTGGCTTCGTAATGTTCTGTAATGCCCCACAGAAGTACAATCCCACAGTCCTCAGCTTACCACCACAACTGAGCCCCAGAATTTCTGTTGCTAAGCGAGACAGTCATTAAGCGAGTTTTGCCCCAGTTAATAATAATAATAATCCTTGCAGTTATTAAGTTAGTAACACAGTTGTAAAGTGAGCCTGGCTTCCCCCTTGATTTTGTTCGTGATAAGATAAGATTACCTTTATTGTCGTTTTTTACTGTGGGCACAACGACACACATCAAAAATGAAATTTAGTTGCCCGCTCTCAAAGACACACACCTAAACCTACTATATACAACATATATATAGACCTACACCCCTACCTATACATAATATATGAATATTAAACACTGTCCATCTTGAATATATAATGGAAGGAGGAAGCTTGAGAGTCCACAAGGTTTAACGAAACTGTGGCTGAATCTGGATGTTCTGCTTCGGTCGCAAAAGGGGATCATGTGACCCCGGGACACCACAACCGTCATAAACATGAGCCAGTGGTCAAGCATTTGAATTGTGATCACGGGACCACAGGATGCTGCAACAGTCCTAAGGGTGGAAAAGGGTCCTAAGTCACTTTTTTCAGTGCCGTTGTACTTTCGAACGGTCACTAAATGAACTGTTGTAAGTCAAGGGCTACCTGTAGGTCTTTGGGTCACATGGAAGCAGGCTGTGACTTCTTTTCACAGCTTCGGCCCAAAGGAGATGTGGGGCAAAACGTCCACGAGTTTTCCTCACGTTACAATTTAATCTTACGCAACCCCATCCCGCTTTGCAGCGTAGAAAAGAGTTTATGGCCTAAAGCCCAATATGCGGGGACGGTAGACACATCAGTGGGAGATACCAAAAGTGGATTTGATTCCTATAATTTGCTGGCTTTCCTTTGGACTGAAAACAGGTGTTGGTTGTTTTTTTTTTTTTAAATCAGGATATAACGACTGCTGTTTGGTATCATTTGTGGCTGCTTCTTAACTATAGATCACCGCGAAGAAAGCCGCAACAATTTGGGAAACGTACGTGGGCAAAGCCCAGAAGCGAAGTGAGATTGCGTTCTAAACTTCATTTATTTTTACTCTTTCAGAGAAACAGGAAAACGTCATGTTCGTTTTACCCTTGCACGGGGGCCACCTGGGATTTTTTGAAGGGTCCGTCCTTTTTCCTGAACCCCTTACCTGGATGGATAAGCTGGTGGTGCAGTACGCAGATGCCATCTGTCAGTGGGAGAAGAATAAATTTCATTGCTCGGATACGGAACAATCATCTGGCCAAGAATAAACCAGTCCCAAAGACTTTTTTTCAGGTTGTTTCCGACTTAGTTTCCATCTTCTTCTTCCTTGCTGCTTTTTTTCCAGGCCAGGCCTGATCATCTTCAGTGTAGGCATTCGACCTCAGCGTTTCAGGCCAAATAGAGCTACGGCACGAAGGTGTTGATGTTTTGAACGGTTTGGGAGTGGGCTTGCAGCCTACTCAACTCAGAGAGGAACCCTTGGGGTGGCTGCCTGTAGCTTACTATAAGGTTTCGAAACTAGCGAAACACCTGGACATCTTGGAGAGGGGCAAGGTGTCCCAACGCTTACCTTTTTCACTGTTCAAAGAAAACAAGCAGAGCAACCATGCCTGGTTGTTTTTGCAAAACTTGCCTAGTGTGTTACTAATGCGAGATAGAAGTGTACTTTCTTTGTGGTCGTGTTTCACCTCGTTAACCACCGCGGGCCCTGGGAAAAGGGAAATTTTACACATCTGCGAAAGACACAGATAAAACCGTCTCCGCATCTCTCGAGTGAGGAAGGACTTCTTCGTTCTTTCTTGTGAATGCATCTCAAGGTTTTCGGTGGCTTTGAAAACGTTCGGGAGGTCAATCGGCCCTTAATTCCAGAATTCTGACTGAGTGCATTCAGTCAATCACCCTTTTTGCTTTTCTCACTGGGGCTTTCCACGTAGAAAGCTCTGGGACTCAATGGTAGATGCCCTGCTCTGTTAACTACTTGATATTGAAACAAGTAGCCTTGTGATCGTTGCCTTTTCTGAAACAAGGCATTATATTTTGACATAAAAGTCGTGAGTGCTCCTAACCCAGGCCTTTTAATACTGTCTGTAAGTGAAAAACCAGTGACCATCAGTTTGTAAGTTATCTGTTCTTCTTTTTTTTTTTGGTTAGAGAAATTTCATATGCGAAGGATGGAGAAAATAAAACATCCAAATTCTTTTCACCTCCCCAGCATACTAAAGCAGTGTAGTAAGATTTTGAAAGCCACAATGGTCTCAGCTTAAAGAAGTTTGTTTTTTTGTTTTTTCAAATGTACTGTATGCCTTAACTATTAGTGGCTTCTGCAATTCCCTGAGTCCAAAGGTGCTTGTTAAAACTTTCAGCCCAGTGACATCAAATGGGATTGGCAACTTCAAGCGAGATGCAATAATGCAGATAAAATGGAGAAATAGGACTTTTTGCTGATGTAGAATAGAGAAACAGATTTTTGTACTGAGCAAGTTTCCAACCTGAAAGTTAAAAAAAAAAAAAAAAAGACACATCTGTATTTGTACATGCACCCATTCATTCATTCATTCTGAAGTCTGGATTACTTAAGACAGTGCAACTTTGCGATTAGACTAGTTTTCAACTGCAGTTCTGTTTTCAACTGTCAGTTTGGTGTTCCTTCCTTAGGCGTATTTCAGTTTACATTTGAACAGTCATTCCCCTGCATTATAGTCCCTATAATAGTTAGCACTTTATTGCTTCTATCTTTTGCTTTGCTGCCTAGACACTTTAATTATAGCAGGCACTTGTTGTTTTTTTAAACTGTTGGGAAGTCTTTCTTGAAAATAAATGTATGGAGTATCTTCCCAGTTGGTTTGGAGATTCCGAAAAGTGTAACTTATGTTTTTCAGGATTTGTTTTTTGTTTTTAAAAATTGAGCAATATTTGCCAGTAGCAGAGGTGCATTTCTCACATCAGAAGTCAAACTGCTCCATCGTCAGAGCCCTCTTGACCTGTTCAACAAACTCTGTGACCTAAGCAGAGTAAATGAATTCAAATTCTATTTTGTTCTTACATAGGAAGGATCGATCACTCATTAAAAATTTTAAGTTTCTTCCCCCCCCCCACCTCATGTAGTCTTATTTTGCTTTTTTGCCATTTCTTTCTATTTTCCTGGAAACCAAATCCAAGATAAGCATATGATTTTAGCTGCAGAACAACATTTTAATAATCTCAGATGCTTATTTCTATTTAAGGAACAACGACAACAACAAAAAAAAACCTAGTTGTTTCAATTGTTTTCTTTGCTACAGTATATAAAATAGGAATGAACATGACTTATTTTTCCTCAGCTGAACAATGTATTAAAAAGCAGGCAATAAGAATCTTAACACTTTCTCATCATTTCTGTCTTCAAGATAATAACCTTATTGTGTTTTGTATTTAAAATAAATGTAATAAAACTAGCATTTCCTAATCTGGTGATCTCCCGTCAATTCCTGATATCTTTACCTTAATGGCTGGGAATAATATATTTCAACAACTCTGAAGGAGCATCAGTTGATAAAATAATTGCTGTGAATTAAAATTACTTGTAAGTAAAGGCACTTGCTAGACTTTCTGCTGAAAGGCCTGCGAAGGTAGAGTTTGCCTTTATTTTTCTTTTTACAACCAGTTGCAGACTTTGTGTACAATAAGACAAGGAATTTAATCTTTCCTTGTTTAAAGTTTGGAAATGGGGTTGCAAGGTTGTGCGGTTGTATAACATAACAATTTCCAATGAGGATTGTTTTTGTGACTTAAATTCATTTAGAACTATTCAAACCCTTGGAAAATAATTTTTGCTGCTCCATCCTGTAAATAAGACTCTTGTATGTCCCAGCTGTTAACAGGAAAAATCAGAACTTTTCAGTAAGTCAGACGGTCAAAGGAATGTCTTTTGAGTCACAAATTTGATCTTTTCTGCTGCATCAATGAAAAAGAAACCCATGTAAGATGGTGGTAAATTCAATTCTAAGTCCCTCTCCCTCCCCCCCCCCCCAAAAAAAATTCTGTTAAGGAAAAGACTGAAATGATGAGAAATTGACCAACAAAAGATAGTTGCCAATTTATATACCTTCCTTGGCACTAAGCCTTTTTTTTATTATTTTAGTGAAACAGAATATTGCTTGAAAGTTTTTGGAAACAGATCAGATTTTCCCACCATTTATCTTAAACTCAGTTAAAAGAAAACCTCTGGACCAAGATCTTTTTTAAGAGATTTTCTTTGCTTTCCATATTCGGAATTTGACAGATTGTTCCTCTGAAGACTTTTTTGGCATACTGGAGACATTACTGCTCATACATACATACTCCCCTTTTTAATGAAGATGGGGGTTGGGAATTGCATCAGTCCCTCTTGATAAGCTGTTGCAGCCAAATGGTCCATCCGGTGTCACCTTTGTCAGTTGACTAAAAGATAGAAGCCAACTCTTTCCTGGCAACCTCTGTGCCAGAATTAATGTCTTGGCAGCTTTGTCTTTGCATTAAAGATAGCTTCTTTGTGGGTCAAGCGTGCATTTTCCAAATATATGCTAGTTTTACAAGTGTTCCGTAGGTCTACATGTAAAAAAGGAAATAGCCAACTAATAGACTGCATTTCACCTTCCATTCCTTTTGCATTTCATTCTCCTTCCCTTAAGAACAATTGCTGACTTTCAGCCATATTATCTCTGCCGTCTTCAAAATATGTACTGTAATATTGGTGCATTAAGTCTCTGATAGCTTCACCCGTAGGTCTGTTTTTAAAGCAGGGCTGAAAATTGTAGCCCTGTCCTCTAGTGATGGCATTGCTAGGCCCCTAGCAGATAGATCAGTGCCTGCCTGTGTCATTCTTGACTGCAGAAACACGACCTATTTCTGATCTAAAGGAATATGTGACCAGGTCACACAGCCACCCAATATTAATCTTAGTAATGTGCTAGTCCCGTATCCCCGCTTGATGTGCATACACGTGTTAAATTTAAAAAAAAGGAAAAATTGTTAAAAAAAATCTCACGCATAGAGAGACCAAAGCACGAGACAATTTTGTGCTTAGATTGCACTGTTAGAATGATGTGAGCTCAAGTTATTGTTCACTTCTTTTAGATGTGTAGAACAGAGCTTCCAGTCCCTGGAGGGGATTTTTATCATAGGAAAATACCTCAACGAGACAGCTTGACTTTAAATCGGAATGAATGGCCTGGCAGTGGTAGTGATAATCAAAAAGAAGATTTAAGGGGTCCATATCACATTTTCCCCCCTCCCTCCCCCCCATTCTATTTCTTTCCGCATATGTTAACGTGATGGTCTTAATAGCAAACCTGGTTCACTTCCTGCAGATTCTCTTAATCAGAGCGAAAGGCAGCTTGGCTGCTGGTTAGAAGAACTGGAGAGGGGAGAATTCGTAGCTCGGTTTAAAAAGGAAAGGATTCTCGCCCAGTGTGCTGGTATCGGAGCCCTTCGCTTTTTGTTCTTTGCAAACCACCTTTGTGCTCTATGTGTTAAGTCTTTTTTTTCTCTCTCTCTCCTTGAAGTGTCCTTGATGAGATTCATGGTAAAATAAAAACAAATCAACTGGGGAGCTGGGGAAGAATCTCCTTTGAGAACTCTGTGTATTCCATTTTAAATGTTCTTTTTTCTTTCTGCTGGTTTCATTAAAGGGCAGCATTTGGCTAAGCTGGAACAGAGAATTGCCATTCCCCTTCCTTCCTTTCTTTCTTTTGTCTACCAGAGGATATGTATTTTTATTTCCTTGATACGGTGTATTTCCTTTCAGATCCTCAGGTTCTGGGACTACCAAAGTCCCAGCAGCTTTGCTGATTCCAGTCTTAGTGGAACACGGCCTCTTTTTTTGTTTTTATTTTATTTTTATTTTTTTTTTGCCCTCAGGATTCCTGAAATGTGGGCAAAAATAATGTATTTGATGGCTTTATTTGGCTTTTGTTTTGATGTGGCATCCAGTAACATCTGGGTTTGTGCAAACAATCCTGCCATTATCCATAGAGGTCCCGTTTCATATCACGAGTAGGAAGTCATACCATTGCCTGGAACAAATGAGAAATTAACCCACTAATTGGTGGAACCCATCCTTTACTTTATCGCCTTCCAAGCTGACGTCATTCCAGCTGTTTAGAATGGGTTGCATTTCATAGCAAAGCCATTTAGGCATTTTGGGAAGTCTTTCTCCTGATTTAAAAAAAAAGCACAATTTTTAAAGAAGGGGATTTCTTGATTTATTACACTCTTGTTTTTCCTCTTGAACATGTCCTAATAGAGGGGCCCAACACCTCAGGAAGCTAGACGTGTACCTGTGCTCTTTTTCCGTTTGTGTCACTGCAGCTGCCTTATTTGGAGTAAGTTGAGCATTTTTTACCTTTTTTTTTTTTAAAAAAAGGCTGTTGGACTTCAATTCTACTTTATTTTATTGGCAATTTTGGATTCCAAGACCAGTTTTGGGAACCCTTACTTCCACAATCCCAAATTCCTTTACAAATAACAATGCTGCCCTGGGGAATTTGTGTATGTGTGTGATCCTCACTACCGGTTCGTTGTGGGACTGGCTGTCTGCAGGATGAAGTTTTTGCAACTAGCAATGCAATTTTTTTCTAAATCTGCTAATCTTTCCAGTTTAGAAAAGTGTGTCCTTGATATATTTCTTTTGGTTTTTGTTCTGTGTGTGATCAATCAAAACAGTAATTTTGTTATTTGATTCAATGGAATTTCTTTGCTTAGAAAAAAAAAATAAAGACCTTAACTGAGTTCGCAATGAGGATTGTGTCTCATTATTTCTCTTTACTTGGATAGGAATAAGTGGACTTGGAATTTAGATTTCCTGTATGCCTTATTTTTCCCCAGAGGTCAAACTAACAAAAACAAACAAATGCATAATTGTTATTGGGTTGCAGAACCAAGTACATTGATGTTATTTCAGGTAGAGACACTTAACTGCTGCAAATAATCAGTCTCTGTTAAATATGCATATTGAACGAACAAATTTTAACCTGAAATAGTTTATTGTTTATTGTGTCTGCAATTAGAATACCATAAACCTCTGGTAAGTGGTAACCAACAGATGCTCCCATTTTAAGGGTGATAAATGTTGAATGTTTAGAGGGATGATCTTGAAGATAGATAATTTGCCATTTTACATATTTAATTTAGCTTGCCATTTATGATCGATTGGAAACATTGCAGTGTAATTCAACTTTTTGTATGTTTCCAGTTTAGGAAGCATGAAGTGAAATAACATAGCACAGCACCTGTGCTGTGTCAGATTTCTGATAAAATCAGCCAAGAACTTACAAACAGATTAAGGGGTTTTTTTTTGTATTAGTAGCTAACATGCTTTTATGTCAGAAAAAGACAATTGTAGTGCTCAATGCAAAAAGAAAAAATAGGATTAGTAATAATAGGAGCCTAAAAAATAGTAGGAAAACGTGAAAATATCATACCTCTGGGAATTTAGGAAATATCAATCAATCAGATTGTATCATTGAAAACTTTGTTATTGTGTTTTTCTTTTAAGACAAAAGATGCTAATGTATGAGTTTTTGTGTGGGGGGGGGCTCTGCCTTTGGTGACTGAGAGAGTGAAAACGAGGAATGAAAGAGACAGAAGTGGAGCTTATGATCACAATCGGTATGGTGCCATCAATCCAGGTAATCCTCAACTTACGGACATTCATTTAGCAATCATTTGAAGTTACCACGACACTGACCATTCCTCACATTTGTGACCGCTACAGCAATCCCCAGGGTCACACAATCAAAATTTGTGCAACTTGGCAACTGGCTGTATTTATCATGGGTTTGCAGCATTCTGGTGTCACAGGATCATCCTGTGTGACCTTCCCAGACAGCTTCTGACCGGTCAGCGAGAGAAAGCAGATTTGCTTTACAACTGTGATTCACTTAACGGCAAAAAAAAAAAAAGATTATAAAATCAGTTACGGCTCACTCAAATAACCCGCCTGGCTTAGCGGTGGAAATTTTGGTCCTAATTGTGGTTATACATCGAGAACTATCTGCACTGCATTTCCAAGAAAAGCTGAGGCTGATCTTCCACCTCAGGGGTCCATTTTTAGAGAGTTGTGTCTTCGGTGTCCGTCCAGATCCCAAAAAGCTTCTCGGCGATCATCTTGCCATCGTATGTGGGCAGGTTGCCTCCAAAATTAGCTGGCAATATATCAGCATCAATCTCTTGAAAGAAGGTGTCAAGTTCGTCCCCGTGCACAAAGACCTGAATATGGAAAGAAATGGGCAAGACGTGAGCCAAAGACGGCCGCAGGGATTCATTCTGGAGATGCTTATCCTGCTATTTTTTAAAATCTGATTTAAGTTTAACGTCTAACCCAGTGATGGCTAACCTTTTAGAGACCCTAAAACTGCCCCCCGTCCCCGCTCCGCCCTGCCCACTGGGCCACCCACCATCTCCACGGCCCACCACAGATCACCCAGGCAGCCCAGCAGCATCATGGCGGCCATGCCCTCCGCCCGTGCCCCGCAGCATCATCTGCATGCAACGGGGCGCAAGGGTGGAGTCTTGTCCCCCGCTGCCCCGCTACCATGTCCTTGGCTGCGCTGCTTCGTGTGGGCTGTGCCCAGGGGCGACTCTCCGGGGGGGCTGCTGGTGAGGAGGGGACCATGGGAAGAGGTGGGGCTGGGGAGATGGTGTGTGTGCCCACAGAGAGGGCTCCGAGTGCCACCTCTGGCACCCGTGCCATAGGTTCACCACCACTGGTCTAACCTATCAAAGAGAAGGATTAAGGGGGACACGTCTCCCAGTACTGGAAAGGCTGTCACAGAGAAGAAGGGATTGACTTGTTCTCCAAAGCACCGGAGGGCAGGGTAAGAAGTAATGGATGGAAATTTGTTAAAAAGAGTTCCAACCTGAAGGAGAAACTTCTTGAAAGAGAGGACAATTAATCCATGGAACCAGTGGTGGGATTCAAATAAGTGAACAACCGGTTCTCTGCGTGGATGCCGCTTCCGGAAGTCCATTCTGGGCCTGGGCAACCAAAAATTAGCTACCGGTTTTGCCAAAGTGGTGCGAACTGGCTGAATCCCACCACTGCATGGAACGGTTTGCCTCCCAAAGTTGTGGGTGCTCCCTTTCTGGAGGCTTTCAATAATAGACAGTTGCAGCATCCTGAGTCGTGTGATTGTCATTTGCAACCTTCCCAGCCAGCTTCCATTAAGCCAAAAATCTGTGGGCAAAGGCAGATTTGCTTAATGGCTGCGTGATTCGCTTAACAAACGCAATGATACACTTAACGTGGCAAAAAAAAAAAAAGATTGTAAAATCAGTCACAACTCCCTTAACAAGCACCTGGCCTAGCGATGGAAATTCTGGTCCAAACGGTGGCGATAAGCTGAAGGCTATCTGTACCACGGTGTAGTCTTTGATGGTACAACTCACCCTTTCCAGGAGCTTGTTCTTCAGGAAGGGTTTGACAATGTTGTAAGTAGTGGTAAAATACCAAGGCTGGTGAATGAAATGAATGGCCTTGAATCGAGCTGGAAAGGAATCCTGGGAATTCCAAAGATAAGTGTGAAAGCCAGAAAAATGGAAGGTGTCTTAAGCAAGATCTCCTCTATCCAGAAACCTAGATTTCTTCTGAGCCCTGTTCACACAAGACTTCTTCCACTAAACTAATCAAATGTCCCTTTTGATTGTTCTGGCAGTGCACAATCTCAGCAACTGGGTCGAAAAGGAACAATTTGTGACTAGGAAGTCATTTCCACCCCCTCATGTCCATTTTTAGCTGGAAGAAGTCTTATTTTGTAAGAGTCCTGGCAAGGCTAAGGCTACCAGCAATAGCAGTAGCACTTAAGACCTATATACCACTTCACAATGCTTTACAGCCATCTCTAAGAAGTTTACAGAGTCAGCATGTTGCCCCCCCAAAAAATCTGGGTCCTCATTTTACCGACCTCGGAAGGATGGAAGACTGAGTCAACCTTGAGTCGATCAGGATCGAACTGCTGGCAGCGGGCAGAGTTTACCTGCAATACTGTATTCTAACCACAGCTCTTCTCTAGAGGGCAGCAACATCTTTCTCCTACCATCTAAAAGTTCACTGTCTTCTTCAGTCTGATCTATGGTTTGGTCACTGTAAGGGAGTGTTTGCTATCCAATCTTGACAGAGAGTTCTATAATATTTATATTTATTTATCAAATTTATTTGCCATCCATCTCACGGTTCGGGCATGGAAGGACTTTGGAAGACTAGGTGGATCAAATAGATTAGCTCAGATTTAGCTATTTTCTTAACATAATTGACGGGTGGAATTATTAACTGGGTCTTTACGGCTAAATCTAACCTTGGGGTTTGCTGACTGCAGCCGTTAATCAAGAGTACAAAAGGGCAAACTAAACAATGCAGTGGAGTCTTGGTTAAAGCAAAACATCTCTACAAAACTCTGCAGACTCCTGTTATTTACACACAGGCAAGGGGATGGCTGAGCTATTGTTGAGTCCTGCCTCAGGGGATTTCATGGAGCTTTTCTTTAGATGGCAGAAAATATTGCAGACGTCCGCTGTGACTTCAACATGTGCTGCATTGGAGATCTTTTTTCTGCTGAAGTGTCCCACTGAAGAGACATATTCCTTGTGTATCCAATCACCTTTGGCCAATAAAGAATTCTATCTATCACTGGAACAGTGCCTCCAAATCCTTCCCTATGGCTCCATTGTGAACTGCTACCCCACAGCTTGCCCAAATATTCTAGCATGATTATCTTATTTAAGGCAATTTCATGATGTTTGGTCTTTGCAACTTGCCAAGGCAAGTAGATAAGGCTCACCTGTAGCATGTCCACCATTTTTTTCAGTTCCGAAGGCTTGATGCCGTAGGCTTGCTGCATGGTGAATCCCTTGAAGTTTTCAACGATACAGAAGCCATTGATTTGAGTTTCTTCATTCTCCAGCAGCTTCTCCAAGATCACACAGTAGGCACGGAGGATCTGTAGTAAAACCATTGGAGAGTAGCAACTCATGCTCCAACACATTCACGGATCTTCCTGCATTGGCTTTGAAACACCAACCATAAAACTTTTCATTGGCTCTGTTACTGATAAAGTACCAAAGTAGTAATCGTCATCAAAGAAGATAGGATTGGATTTGTGGGGTCCTTGGTGCTCTCCAAGCTTTGTTGTTTTCCTACTGACATTTCAAGTACCAAACTAGGTATCAGCAGCAGCACTGATGATGTTACGTAGTTTGGTAATGAAATGTCTGCAAGAAAACAACCAAGTTCGGAGAGCACCAAGGACCCCATAGTTGAACCCTGAGCTACAAATATTAGGTTTGGATTTATACATCATGCAAAGACATAATGGGATTGTTTGATTTTTCACAAACTATGGCTCCTAGCCTAGCACAATGTGTGATTCTCCCCAGCCAAACCTGTTTTCTTCAGGAAACCAACATTAAAACGAACTGTGGATTAGTGTGTTGTGCAAACTATTCTGTCGTTAGAATCACTTGACTTTCCAATATTGTGGGCTGCTTTTCCTGAACGAATGAAGAATAAAGTCAGCGGTGGCAAGTTTTGATGGTTATACGTGGGATGGATTCCTTCATCAAAGTAACCATGTTTGGTTTTTATAAAGTTTTAGCAGGCCACAGTTAACTGAATTATTATACTACACTAATCCACAAATTGGGGTTTCCAAAGCACAGGTTGTTCAGCTCATCTAATACTAAGCCCTAAATCAAAGCTATTGGATATGGGCTGCAAAACTCCAAAAGACTGGGAGACGACAGCAAAAAGATGCAGAACACAACAACTCTGTTTGAGATTCTTTCTGATGTTTCCAGCCTGGATGTGGTACTTCTACAAAAATAAGCAAACCATAGAGTAGTGCAGTGTGTGAACTCAGCTACTTAATTCTATCAGCGTCGTAGTACAGTTCTGAATACCAAACACTGAGGAATTGATTTTACTTCTTCTGCTTCTGGGTTTCCTTCCAGAGGGAGTTGATTTCTGACTGGCTACAGATAGATATGCTTGACTGGGCTAGACATGACTTTGATCTGATCCAGTACAGAGGTTCATGCCTGTCAAAACTGACAAGACATCATGTGGCTTATTCCAAACATAGTAATTTCATTCAGTGTTCCCTAAGACAGTCTCCTGTCTCTTGGCTGATGTGAATTTTCTGCTCCACCTTAAAGAAGATTTCTCTAAGTAAATGAACTTAACACAGTAACCCCCACCTAACAGGAAAGATCATGTAAACTGAAGAGGATTGAATGGTGGAAGTTCTTCCATACACAGCAGACCAGCTGCATGCCATCTCCCTTCTCTGTTTGCAATTTGCACCCAGATTTTTCCATTCCAGATGAGAAATATTGGCCATTTCTGTTGAGCAACATCTGGAGGGCCACAGTGCTTTCCTTGCTTTAGGGGGGAGCAAGGACAAGTTGATAAGAAAAAATGTCATACATGAAATTTCCTGACGGTTAGAAAAAATAACCAGAGAACAACCTGCCTCCAGAAGCTGTGAATGCTCCAGCAGTGGAAGTTTTTAAGAAGAGGCTGGACAGCCATTTGTCTGAAATGGTATAGTGTTTCCTGTCTGATGGGGTTGGACTAGATGACCTACAAGGTCCCTTCCAACATTATTATTATTATTATTATTATTATTATTATTATTATTATTGATATTATTTGTACAAACATGAAAAATGTTTACATTTAACCATTTATGCACTGAAAATATTAAGATTGATATTTGTTTTAGATTGAAGAAGGAGAATACTATTGGGAGAAGGGAAGATCAAAGAAATATATTATTAGTTAATATACTAATTATGGAATTACAAAAAGTAACTATTATTGACTGTTAATTACTACTGATTGTTTTTTCAAAATATATGAACTAAGACAACATGCTGTACACTAGGCACTAAGGGTTGGTATTGTAAAAATTAATAATTAAAAAAGACTTAGAAAAAACTTTAAAAGATGAACCATCTTTACCGAACAATACCAACCTCATCAAATGTGATTTCTTCATAATCCCAGTTCTCTATGTTGAACAGCAGCACCACCCGACCGTATTTATCCCTGTTGCACAAGATGCCAGGGTAGCCAGCCTCGATGGTACTCCGTACAGCCTCGGGGACCAGGTTTTCAAAGAGTTCTGGATACTGCTGGCGGAAGTTGACGTAACCTGGAGTTAGGGATAGAGGCTCTAACAGTGCCACATTAGAGATGCTAAATGAGTGAACGGCTCAATCATCAAAATTAAAACTCGACGTTTCCAAAGTGGAAGTGGTGACAGAGGCAGGCGGCTTTGTCCAGTGACAGCTGCATGCTTTCAACAACAAGTTCGTCAGCTCCGATCAACAGCTCAGTAAATTCAACACTGTTGTTGCGATACAGAAATCACCCATTTTAATCTGAAGGAAGCCAAGGGCAGAACAATATTTTTTTTTAAAATTCATAACCTGGATGCGTAAAAATGAAACTTTACACACGTGGACTTGAGCGTGAATAGAAGACCCTCTTTGAACAACAGACCTGCTTATCCAGATCCGTTTGGGTAGATGTTTCAACGGATATTCACAGGGCAAACAGACCCTCTCTGCAGACTCTCCATCTCAAAAATCTGAAACCCATTACTTCAGAAGTCCCCAACCTTTTGGGCACCAGGGACAGGTTCAGTCAAGAAAGTTTTTTCCATGGACCGGAGGGGGCATGGTTTTGTGTGCTGCCTGCATCCTGCAAATGGGGCTTTGCTTGATTGTGTGGACCGGTTGCTGGCATGCCACGGCTCGGTACTGGTCCACGGACCAGGAGTTGGGGACCCCTGCATTAGTTGGCAAGTAGACAAACAGTACTGCAATGACATCTATTGCTAGTGGAAGTAGTGGAGCTATTATATTGGAGGCCTTTAAGAAGAGACTGGGCAGCCACTTGTCTGAAACGATGTAGGGTGTCTTGCTTGATCAGGGGGTTGGACTAGAAGACCTCCAAGGTCCCTTTCAACTCTATTGTTCTATTATTATTCTATTCCCTTCTGTTTTATTCTGTTCTGATAGTGCTACTACCCGCAATTTGAGTAACATAACTCATCCCAGCCAAACAACAAGCCCAGCATCTTAACCACTTGACCCATCATGCCACCCAAGCTGTGAGATGGACATCTGTAAAAATCATTGCAACCAGTAAATAAATACATTTCAACCCCCCAACGAGTGATATTTATGGATCTACATGTCTGCAGGGAAGGGTCCAATGGAAGACTCCCCACCTTTAACCAAATCATAAGCTCTGTTGATATCAAACTTGCGGGCACGTAAGAAACGGAGGAGAAAAGCATCTTCCCTCCCCTGCATTTTCTCAGCAACTGCTTTGCAAATGTCTTCTCCATCTTTAGCTTTCTCTTGGATAAGTTCGTGAAGCTCTTTCACTGCTAACTCACGTTTCTCTAGGGTCTCGTTCAATTCATCTTTAGCCTAGGGACAAGAGGCAAAGATAATGTGACAGGTAGGCATTGAGTTGGGGGATCATACTGGAATCTCAAGAAACTGGACTTTCTTGTTTTTCTTTGAAGACTCAGGTGACCCTAAGGATGCAGGTAAACCTCCAAGTGGCCTCAACAGCTCTCTAAAAAGAAGGCAAATGACCAGCTGTCTGCAAGGAACATTAATCCGTCCATTCCCCATCTGAACAGTCAACTATAGACTATTGTTAAGTTGGAGTGAGAGCTTATAATACAGCACTGTAGTTAACATTGCCCTGTTTTGGGGAGTTTGGTGCCATCCAGTGGCTGATAGTAATTATGCTTCTCTCTATCACCCAGGCTTGGCTTACTTAGCCTTACAGGATTTTAGGATTAGGTGGTCATGGCTATGAAGTAAATGGTTGCAGCTCTTAAGCTGAATAAGATGATCAGTGTTTGGTAGCTAAGCATAGATTAAAACAGGGGTCTTCAAACTTGGCCTTTTTATGACTTGTGGACTTCAACTGCCAGAATTCCTCAGCCAAGCACAATTCTGGGAGTTGAAGTCCACAAGTCATAAAAGGGCCAAGTTTGAAGACCCCTGGATTAAAAAGTCTGAGTGACGTGCAGAATAGCACAAGGAACTTGCAGCCAGATATATTTTACAGTCCTCCCTAAAGCAGATCCTCCAGTCAGGATAAAATGGGTGGCAAGGCTAGCCGGCCAACGGATCTGTGCTAAATGTTTTTCTTGGCCATCTTCTGCATCTGGTTCCTGCTTCCGTTGTTCTCCCCCATTTTGCATGATGCTCACCTTCTGCAAGGTGTGTGCGGGGATCTTCTCGGGCTTCCCAAACACAGGACCGTGGTCGCTGGTGGTCAGTCGCTCGAGTTTAGTACGCAAAGCCTGTTCCTCTTCCGAAAGAGGCCTGAAGGTGCCCGTCTGGGACTGAAATTGCAAGATGAAGGTCAGGCAAACCTCAGGCAACAGTTTAGAATAGAATAGAATAGAATAGAATAGAATAGAATAGAATAGAATAGAATAGAATAGAATAATCTTTATTGACATTGTGTAACTCACAATGAAATTAAGTGCTGTCCACAGTGCACACTACACACAAGTAAAAACCACAAATAAAAACATACGTTATATACGCACATCCTTCACATTCTATTCACCATTGCACTGCCTCTAATATCGCACTTCAATGTTGCATTATACAGTGGTATTTAATACGGTTACAGCTCTGGGATAAAAATGATTTTTCAGCCTATTTGTCTTTGTTTTTATTAACCTGTACCTCCTGCCAGATGGTAATAGTTAAAAAAAAAAAGAATGTCCAGGATGAGATGAATCTTTAAGAATATTTTGAGCTTTCCTAAGACAATGGGAACTGTACAGTTCGTCCAGGGGGTGGGGGGAGGAGAGGGCAGCCAATAATCCTCTGGGCGAAGGTAATGTCCCTCTGGAGTCATGCAAAGGAGGAAAGATTCCGGCTAGCAACGGCAGGAGAGGTTGGGAACCCTTTTGGCTGCATGTTCACGCAGCACTAAATCGCAATCAAGACAAATCCATTTTAGCCTAACTTGCTTATGGAGGCAATTCGTGCTTTAATTTTTGGGTAGGGACAGCTTGGCTATGTTTGCATATATTTTCCCATATTTAAACCACTGAGCCATAATTAAGTTCATTTGGCCTGATTTGCTGGATTTACATAGCACAGGGAGCAGAAAAATAACTAGAAAATAGAATGATAAGAGTTGGAAGGGATCTCGGCAGTCTTCTAATCCAAACCGCCCAGATTTGTTTCGATATGAGATGGGCGGCAAGTAAATTTAACAAATAAATAACCCCCCTACTCAAGTGGGAGGACTTATACTATCTGGGCAGTTGGCTACCCAGCTCTTCTTGAAAAACCTCCTGGGACACAGCACCCACAAACACACAGACTGGGCTTGAATAATATGCCAGATCAAAATGGGGTTTGCTGCTTTGGGGTTTAGCGCAGTGGTAGCAAACCTATGGCACAGGTGCCAGAGGCGGCACTCAGAGCCCTCTCTGTGGGCACACCTGCCATGCCCCGGAGATGGCAACCGTCCCTCTTCAACCAGCCGCCCGCTAACTCGCCGAGGTCCCACATGGCTGGATGCATCCCAGCACCCATGCGCTCTCTGGCCTCTGTGTGCAGGGCCCAATGGTATCAGGCAGCAGCCGCCCCGGCCCCTGCCTCACCTTGCCCTGTGACAATGGCACCCTCGCCCTGCCTCGCCTTGCCTCACCTCACCCCGCAGGATGAGCCTCCTGCCCACCGCCCCACCTGCCACCCTGGATCTCCCCCAACCCTGCCCGGCCCCCACAGTCATCCCTCCCCACGAGTAACATCGAGGTGATCATGCCCACCTTGGCCACACCCACCCAATCTGCCATGACCACACAGCCAAGCCCACCCAGTGGCCCACGCCCACCTGGCACCCTGCGATAAATAAGTTGGTTCGCCATCACTGGTTTAGCGTGTGGGGTGACCAGAGCTAGTTCTGCTGCAGAGAAAGTTTGAATCTCGCATCTTTCCCAGCAGTTATCCCCAGTGAGAACTTGAGCACAGGAACAAAGGAAGAGAGTTAAAACTTACCATTGCTGTCATCTTTGCACTCCAATTTAGCCCCTGAGAGAAAGAAAAGGAGACAGAAAAACACAGGGGAACCCTGTTAGGGAGGCAAACCTGGTTTGTCTAATAAGGTTTGTCTAATAATGACTGAATGGATTAACCACACTTAACTGGACTAACAGAATAACAGAGTTGGAAGAGATTTTGGACGTCTTCTATTCAGTGGTGGGATTCGGCCAGTTCACATCAGTTCGGCAGAACCGGTCACTAATTTGTTGTTGCCCAGGCCCAGAACGGACTTCCGGAAGTGGCATCCACACAGAGAACCGGTTGTTCACATATTTGAATCCCACCACTGCTTCTAGTCCAACCCTGTGCTCAAGCAGAACACCTTATACCCTTCTGAACAAATGGCTGTCCAGTCTCTTCTTAAAAACCTCCAGTGATGGAGCACCCACAACTTCTGGAGGCAAGCAGTTCCACTGGTTAATTGTTCTCAGTAGCAGGAAATTTCTCCGTAGTGCTTAGTACTAACATTGCATGCTCACCAAGCAAACAGCATTACAGCAATGCAATATCTGAACCCATTCATAACAGCAGTAGCACCTAGACTTATATACCGCTTCACAGTGCTGTACAGCTGCCTCTAAGTGGTTTACAGAGTCAGCATCTTGGCCCCAACAACCTCGGAAGGATGGAAGGCTGAGTCAACCTCGAGCCGGTCAAAACCAATCAAGGTGCATTGTATCTCATGCAATATGCAAATCCAGTCACCTGCAGCATAATGACACATCGCTAACTACGCCAGCCTCCTTCATTAGGGACAAAACCACAGTCTTGTGCCATCTGGCAAGCTTTTGAAATGGGCAGAGGCTCAGGATGGCTTCTCCAAGTCTTCTGTGCATAAAACTTTAAACCAAGCTGGAAAAATACCACTGATTCTTCAGCCTACAATGAAGCCAATCTCATTAAGCTGGTGCCACACTTCTAAGGAAGCCTACATTGGACTCAGCTGGTTAGATTCATTCTTGGGATGGAGCAAATGCTTTGAATGCAGAAGCTGCTGGATTTACTGCCTGGCATCTACCTTGAAAACAAACCAAGATACACCCATAGAGAAGACTTTTACTGTGGATATTATTCAGCCGGTAGATAAATAGTCTTAACTCAATAGAAACCGTACACAATGACTTGAACTCCTGCATGGTTTTTCACTGGAATATAGACATTCTAGCCTTGGGCTCCATCACCTCTCCTATTCTTCTTCTTTTTTTTTTAAAGCTTCAGTAAAGCTGTGGCATCTTTGACTAGAGCAACAGAATTCTGGCTACATTGCAAAACTTCAATAAGTAAAATACTCACAAAGGATGCCAAGATACTCGAGGAAGATCTGTGTAGGAGATCCTGAAACCAAGAGTGAGGAACGTTTACACAGGCAGGCTGCAGGGAAGCTAGTAGGACTGGAGAGAATCAACGAAAACTCCTGACAAACATCCTGTTAGCAACACTGGGTTGGGATTAGGCCGTCCCGGGGCATTGCTCAGGAGAGCTGCATAATGAGGTCAACCCAAACCAGAGAAGGGATTCCCATGGAAGAAAAGTACAAAAAGAGGATGGAACAAAGACAGAGCAGCGGCCAAGGAGATTTGGCTCAGCGAAAATGCACAACAAGGGACGTTGATGGGATTCGGGGAGCGATTAACCGTGTATAAAAGCCTCTTATTGTATAAGTGGGCCAGACTCATTAGCGTAACTTGGAGGGAGAATGAAGGATTCGTGAGAACGTTGCCAATGAGATAAAAGGCAGAGACCGCAACTCCATCAAGGAGGAAGAGCAACTTCATGGCGAAACAGACATTTTTCATACGTGAGGTCCATATTCTCTTCCTGCCATGTCCGTGGGCGTATTTGTGTGTCTGTATCCTCTGCCAGCATGGGGATGCAGGTTCTCTTTATATCCATGGCAATTAAATCCATCGCTGCTTCTTTCCACCCTTCCTTTGCTTAAACAGGCTCTTTGCCTCATGCTTTAAGGTTCTGAAGTTGAGTGTCTGCTGACATAACTGACTTGCCTGCCCTGAGAACTGATGGCTCCCAGCTTATATCTCACACTTTGGTTGATGTCTCGGTGTGTGATCTAGCCAGACCTTCCATACCAATTATGAGCGATTGCCCTCTCCTTCGACTTGAGCCCTTCCTAGAAGCATCTGGTGGGATCTGGAACATGATTCCCTTTCCTTGATCCAGGAGAATTCGTCTTAAGTCCTTATGTATTCCTCAGTCCATTCTCTTCACATAGAATGGGGCAGACGCTAAAGGACTGCAGTTAGTCCTCGACGTACGAGGTTCAAAGTTATGACAACCTTGGAAAAGTGACTTATGAACCATGCTTGCAGTTGTAACCATTGTACCACTGTCACGTGATCGCAGTGCAGGTGCTTGGTAACTGGTTCATATTTACGACAGTTGCGGTGTCTTGTGAACAAGTGATTGTGATTTGCCACCTTCCCAGATGGCTTCGGAAAAACAGTTGATTGGGGAAGCCGGATCCGCTTAATGACATGACTTACTTAACAACTGCATGATTCGCTTAATGACCGTGGTAAACATAGTCCTTAAAATCTGTTCTGAAAATTCCAGTCCCAATTTAGTCCCATACATTGAAGACTACCTGTACAATTAGTTACGGGGGGAAGGCAGCACAACGGGGAACAAATGAAGACATGGTGCCTGAAGACACCATCACAATGACACCAGAATACATTTGTTATTTGCATCATTTGTTATGTGTCATTTTTTTGCAAGTAATCATTCTGTTGTTATCACAACATGTACTCGACACACCTGCAGTTATGCCCATTCACATTTTAAACTTTATGTGTTCATTTTCATCCATTGTGGGAGAGACTCTCTCTCTCTCTCTCTCTCTCTCTCTCTCTCTCTCTCTCTCTCTCTCTCTCCTCCCATGTTGCATCAGACAATAGTGTATTGATTTATTGAATAAGCTACAAATAGCAGAATGTTCATAACATGCTAAGCCATTATTAGCCCTGGTTAATAATCCACAGCAGCTAGGTTCAGATCACAAGACAAGTCGAACAAATCAGAGCTTGGATTATCACATGCAGTCACAGGCCGTTCCTCTAACAGGAACAGAAGATTAGTTTAGATTCAGATTAAAAAGAATAGGCAAGGGGGAGACCATTAAAGTTAGCTGACGGTTCTTTTAACTTAGAAAGATTCCAGATTCAAAGAAAGAAGCATATAGGTCCAGTGGAGAGCAACTGAAATATGAAAGATGTGTTCTTTAATTGCATGGGGATGTAAGGATTTGGAATTCCACGGTACCAGGACTGTGGGAGGGGACTATGTGTTCCAATTGTGGGTGCAGATCAAGGAGAGAGACAAAGAGAGAGAGAGAGAGAGAGAAGAGGAGAAAGAAGAGGAGTGATAGAGAAAAGAGAGAGAGAGGAGGGAGAGAAGAGGAGAGAGAGAGAGAGAGAGAGAGAGAGAGAGAGAGAGAGAGAGAGAGAGAGAGAGAGAGATACAACTGTCAATGGCACTTGTGTGGAGAAGGCACAATATGGGTTCAGCCAAATGCCATTTTGATCTCTTTTTTCCCCCCTGAAGCTTCTGATTGGGCATCTACACATTTGACAGTTTTCATGAATGGTATTATTTGACTCTAATTAAGCAAACACAATACTGTATTTAGGCCTTGATGTCCAGCCCTCATTTGACATTGTCTGCAGAGGCTCTGTTTGAAGGGCTGAAAGATGAAAAATATGTCTTTCTAGCCCTATCTACATACGAAAACCGGATCTTGAAATGGCCCACCAGTATTTTACAGCAGAGTGACCGGGCCAATAACTAGGTCACCTAAGCATAAGCAGGAGCAGCCTGGCAGCCTCCACCTGATGGTATGCGAGCCACTAAGACAGCAGATTTTCAAGTAGCTAACAGCTCAGCACATGATGTTCTAAAGGCAGCACATCAAGTAGAACAATGCAATCTGTTCATGAGAACATGTAATGGTGGGAGAAGTAGGAGAAACCAGAAAGACCATGCCAACAATGATCTTAGCTAGCTCAAACTATTAAGCAGGGTCATGCTTGGGTGGAACATAATGAAGTCCCAGAGCTGCTAGATTAGGAAACTGAAAAAAAAAAAATCCTAAAAGGCAATGGAGTCTTTATCTTCGTCTTTAAACAGGCCATCTCATCTGTTTTGGCAGGCCAAACCAGGCATATAAAGAATCCAGTTGCTGCAATGAATGTTCTTTGTTGACTGCAATAGCAATAGCACTTAGACTTATATACAGCTTCATGGTGCTTTTACAGCCCTCTCTAAGCGGTTTAGAAAGTCAGCCCCCAACAATCTGGGTCCCCATTTTACCGACCTCGGAAGGATGGAAGGCTGAGTCAACCTTAAGCCGGTCAGAATCGAACTGCTGACAATGAGCAGAATCAGCCTGCAATACTGCATTCTAACCCCTGTGCCCCCATGGCTCAGTTTAACCCAACTTACTGACTGCAAATAATAATAATAATAATAATAATAATAATAATAATAATAATAATAGTAATAAAGTTGGAAGGGACCTTGGAGGTCATCAAGTCCAACTCCCTGCTCAGGCAGGAAACCCTACACCATTTCGGACAAATGGCTGTCCAGTCTCTTCTTAAAAACTTCCAGTGTTGGAGCATTCACCTCTTCTGGAGGCAGGTTGTTCCACTGGTTAATTGTTCTCACTGTCAGGAAGTTTCTCCTTAGTTTCAGATTGCTTCTCTGCTTGATTAGTTTCCATCCGTTGCTTCTTGTCCTGCCTTCAGGCGCTTTGGAGAATAGCTTGACTCCCTCTTCTTTGTGGCGATGTGAACTAGGTGTTATTCTTCTATTCTTGCCCATTTGATGTCAAATTGTAGCGTTTTACTCTTTTTTTGTTCAAAATCCTTTCCTGCCAATTATCATTTCCGGAATGTTTCTTTCGTGTCCTTGATATTTTGCCCAATGTTGACTCACTTTCACTCTAGTCAATTTCTTAGTCATTTTTACAGTGCCTCCCCCTTTCTGCTTCCGGCAATTGTTCTCAAAGTGCTGTTGCTGTATCTCCTAAATTAACTTAGTACTTCTACTACTTTGAAACCTGTATTTGGCAAAATAATAATAAGCATAAAAAAAAATCTTCCCATGTGGAAGATACTTAAAAGATATTTGATGAAATGGATTGTCTTGATGCCTGTTTAGATTTGATGCCAATAAATTCCAAGGTGTTATAAAAGAACATTAAGATGATTCTTCGCCCAGATGAAGAGGATGAAATAACAGGATACCCTGATAATAAATTAGATTTGAATTTTCCAGATTTGAATTTATATATTCTTTTGCTTTATTTTCTTAGATAACTGACACTCTTTTTAAAGACATTTGGAATAAACATTTTAATAAACATTAACTACCACGATCTGTAACATAATGTTGTGATGTGGGTAGCATTCCATCCACTTCATCACACCCATCCCTATGTTTTAGGTCCCACCCTCACCCCTTTTCGCCATTAAATTTAATCTATATTTTGCAACCACCAAAAAAGATTTTCTTTTCCCCACTTTGTGATTTTTTTCCCCCTCCATTTTTTTTCTTACAAATTTAACAGTTACCCTAGGCCTTGCAGATACCTGTGTCTACTCCATGGGGGTGACACTTTGACTATATAAAGAAATCTACTCCACCTAACAGTGGAGTAGAGAAAAATAATAAAATAACAATAGCAGCTAGTCTCAAGAAAAATGACGTTCTTAAGGAATAAGGCCAAGTTGTACTAATCAGTGGGGATTATGGTTCTCCTTGATTGACTCCTTCCCTTCAGCAGCGCAAGGTTTCAAAGAAAGCTTGAAAAACAAGCTGTGCATCTGCAGAAAGGCCACATGGATTACAGTAATCCTCATTTTCTGAATAAAAGTAAAGTTTCTGGTAAATTGAACTTGACTTTTTATAGGCCTATTCATGCTGTTCTCTTAGCAATTGTGTGGAAGTGATTTGTCTCTCTCTTATTCCGGAATACATTTTGATTTCTCCATAGATTTCCCGTCCAATGGCAACACACTTCTAATCCTGTGTAATGCAGAATTCTTGGATTCAGTTTTCTATCATAGGCTTTATGACTCTCAGGACACTCAATGGAAAGTAGTTTGGACATTCCCAACAGAGAATCTGCATCATCTACAATGGGTGTTTTTCAAACCGGGCCACTTTATGTGGACTTCCCACATAAAGAATTCCCCAACCATCAGGATAATAATAATAATAATAATAATAATAATAATAATAATAATAATAATAATAATAATAATGATGATGATGATGATGATAATAGAGTTGGAAGGGACCTTGGAGGTCTTCTAGTCCAAGACAAGAAGCCCAATCAGGAGTATGGGTTGTCCTCGTCTTATGACCACAACAGAACCCCAAATTTCTGCTGCTAAGTAAAACATTTGTTAAGGGGATTTTGCTCCGTTTTATGGCCTTCCTTGCCACGGCGAATCGCCGTCATTATTAAGTTACTTTTTTCCCCAACGCCATTGGAACTTTGAACGGTCACTAAATGAACTGTTGTTAAGTTGAGGACTACCTGCATTGGATTGGTGACGAAAAACCTCCCCTTCCCTCCTTGTAAAAATGCTCAGTGGTGCGGTTTAGAGCAGGGGGTCTTCAAACTTGGCCCTTTTATGACTTATGGACTTGAACTCCCAGAATTCCTCAGCCAGGCATGCCTGGTTGAGGAATTCTGGGAGTTGAAGTCCACAAGTCATAAAAGGGCCAAGTTTGAAGACCCCCTGGGCTAGAGGCAGGGATGGGGACTCTGTCGTTCACTAAACACGTGGGAATGCATGCCTCCCGCGATGCCAAAGGGCTTCCTCGTTGCCCCTCTCAAAGCTGGCGCGGGTTTCCTAATTTTATTCCCATCCAGCAAACCTGGGACTTCAGTTGGGGAGATAAATGCAATGGCAAGTCCGCCAGGAATGCAACTTAGAACCACCCCGCTAAGATCTCTGGCGGGAGAATGTTAAACGGCCGGGACAAAAGCCGGCACCCGCGACATTTTTACGAAGAGAAAAAAAAAGACTCGCGTGGGTACTAAAAAGGGCGGGATGGGGACTCGAACCCATGGCCTCGAAACCATCGGACAGAGAAAACCCGAGGGCGCCACGGCTCCATCCGGGTCTTTGCGGAGAAGCCGGAAATGATAGGAGGGGAAGCGGGAGATTGGTTGCCTAGGGAAACGGGAGAGGAGGGGAAAAAAAAAAAGCAATCGCTTTAGCGGGGGCGGGGCTTGTTGTGTGCACTTCCTGGGCGGGAGATTCGACTCTCGGAAAGGCTGGCGAGGAAGGCGGGATGCGTCGATAGGGCGGGCGAAGAGAGAGGAAAAGTGGGGAAGGGCCCTTCCGGTTGGGGCAGGGTCCTGCAGGGGAGGGGAGGGGGCATTTGGAGGGGGAGGGGTGGAAGGAAGGGCAGTCAGCTGAGGAACCACTTGGTGGGCGGTGGTGGTGGGAGCTCATTGGGCGAGAGGGGTCAAAGGGGCATCAGCCAACGGTGGGAGCTTATTGGGTGACGGGAGATCACGTGGGCCCCAGCCAATAGAGCTGAGGCAACGGGGGCCGCGGAGGGTCAGATAACTAGAATAGAAAAGAATTAAATAGAATAGAATAGAATTAAACAGACTGTAGACTAGAATAGACTAGAATAGAATTAAACAGATTGTGGAATAGAATAGAACTGATTGTGGAATAGAATAGAATTAAACAGATTGTAGATTAGAATAGACTAGAATAGAAATAAACAGATTATAGACTAGACTAGAATATGGAATGGAGGATAGAATAGAATAAAAATAGAATAGAATAATGGAATAGAATAGAATTAAACAGATTGTAGAACAGATTAGAATAGAATTAAACAGATTGTAGATTAGAATAGAATAGAAATAAACAGATTATAGACTAGACTAGAATATGGAATGGAGAATAGAATAGAATAAAAAATAGAATAGAATAATGGAATAGAATAGAACTAAACAGATTGTAGAACAGACTAGAATAGAATTAAACAGATTGTAGATTAGAATAGAATAGAATAGAAATAAACAGATTATAGACTAGAACAGAACAGAACAGAACAGAATCTTTATTGTCACTTTGAATGTTATGGGCTTCCCCAGAAAGGACTGGCTTTCCTTAACCCAGAAAGCAAAACAAATGAAGAAAACCTGGTTTTTTTTTTTTTTTTGTCTTTCAGTAAACCTCCCTTATTCTTGAATATTCTGCCAGGATGGACCAGAAAATCCTGCTTCTGGCATCCGAGGGAAACTCAGAGCGCCTCCAGTCCTGCCTGGAGAGGCTGAACGAAAAAGAGGTCAGCGCCCATTGCCTATCAGTTAAATAAATCCCCCTCCCCCAACGTATCCCCACCAAGCTTATTTGTGCACCACTTTTGTCTGGGAATTCCTTCTGTTCTATCCTCAGTAGCTTCTTCATGTTGGTCCCCATGCTGGGCAAGCTGTGGCACTCTAGGTAGTGCTGAGCTAAAGTTTATAAACTTCCTTTAAAGCAGTGTTGCTTAAAGTGTGGTCTGAGGACCCATGGGGATTCCCCAAGACCCTGTCAGGGGTCCACAAAAATCAAAATTATTTGCCAGACATTGAGAGCATTTGCAAAAATGTAAAAACCATGTTGCTATTGTTTTTGTTGTAAAAAAATTAAGTTTTTTCATGAAAAAAAATATCGATATTTGTCCTGCTGAAATTAAAACGGATGTTTTTGTAGAATATTTATCAAACCATGAACAAGAAACCATATTAAACCCATTAGACATTAACATAAATATTTTGTATGATTTCAACTGCTCTTACCCAGGTTTCTTGCCAACTGGGCTAGCTTGCCATTTATGAAATATGCTATCAATCGACTCTTTTGCTGTGTCACTTGATTGTTTATGTCTGAATTCTCACTCGTTCCTTTTTTCAACATGTTCACAATCTTGCACAGATTATTCTTCGGATAATTTATAGGTTACATTAAATATGCATGTTTTTATTCAAGATTAATACTGGGGGTAATGTTGAATGTAAAAGTTCAAAGGAATGACACGTTTTGCAATTCTGGTCTCTTTGCCACAGTTGAATGACCTTGTTACGAAACATGCTTTGAGGAAGAAGGGGATTGGTGCTGTTCTGAGAGGAATCTTCAAAGGTACTTACTAAGACTAGTGGATTGATCTCTAGCCCAGTGACATGGTTTCTTGTCCATACGAAGCTAGTCTTTTGAGCAAGTATAAACATAGTAGTCAGTTTCTGACCATACTAGGGACAACCTACTTCTCAGTTTCATTTTAATACCTGGGTTTTCTTCCTTTTAATATCATTAGAACAGGCTAGCATCAAGTAATAGCTTATAAATAGTTGGTTCTTTTTAATCAACAAAGTATTGGGAAAGCAAATCGCCCCATCTGTTGATAAAGTCGCCCTATCTGTTGATAAAGGAACATGCAAGCTTTCAGACTTCAAAAATCCAACTTTCCACTGTTTTAAGCAGTACAAAATTAACAATATTTTGTTGTTGTGTGTTTTTTTGTTTAGGTTCGCCTTGCTCTCAACAGAAAGGTGTTGCCAGAAGACTAAGTATTTACAAACACTGTATCGAGTTAGTGGAATCTGGTGACCTGCAAGTGGAAATTGCATCTGAAATAATAAGACTGCTTATGTTAGAGGTAAAAGATAAAAATAGCTTCTCAGGGGTTTCCCCAAGTTAACACTGGGGATGACTGCCTTTTACATCTAAGTCAGAAGTTTATGTTTTTTGAGTTGGCCAATATATTAGCAACATGATAACATTTCCTTTGCAGTCCAATGCTATGTATGCTTATATAGATTTCTAAAAATGAATACTTTGTTACTGTCTGGGATTGTTTGTTCCTTGTTGTTGTTAGGGCACCTCTCACAGTTGTTAATTTTTTAAAAAGCAACTTTATCTAAGCTGGCAGTCTCCACATGCAGTTTGTGAACTAACTCCCAGAATCCTTGGCAATTCTCATGTTAGCAGGGGGGGAATTCTTAAAATTGAAGCCCATGTAATTGAATGGCATTGAGAATGGGAAAGGCTGCAATATGGACGATGTGGCATGCATAGGCTTTGCTTTTTTTGATCATGAAATTAGACCGGGCTACATCCTCAGCTTTTTAATAGCTGGCATGATATGCAAAATGTGTGTAATAGTTCCTCTTTTATTTTGGGAAAGCTATTTCATGTTGTGACTAAAAGAAGTACCTCTGTGACACTTTTATAGTTGTAATGTAATTCAGAGCTCGTTTCTTTCTTTGGTCTGAACCCTTTTAATATAATCAATTATGTAATATAATTTTTAAAATATTATATTTAATACCTCAGGCTCACAAGATGCCAGGGCTTACTTTGGCTGACTTGGCTATGTTGTTCATTGAAGCAATTAAAGGAGGCAGCCTGTTGAGTGGCAAATCTTTGGAACTCTTTCCTACACTTCTTACTTTGCTGGCTACATCTAAGGAGACCCTTGAATATGGGGCAGGTAAGCTTACTCCTCTTCAGTTTTCCCTTCTTTGTCTTTTGCTAACTAGCAACATCTAACATTTCCTTTTCAGGTGAGCTGACTGGGGACGAATATAAGAAACAGCTGATTAATACCCTCTGCTCCAGCAGGTAAGTTTGCGCTTGTCAGATCAGATGCCATTTGGTGGCATCTGTTCTGGTGGTCAATTTCATGTAAAGTGTTTATTGGCATAATTTACATAGACACATGCTAAATTATAAATACATGGAATCTCTCTCTCTCTCTCCCTCCTGCTCACTCTTTCCTCCCCAGTATTTTATGAAGTGTCATCATATTTCTTCCTATAGATAATGAGCAAAGGTAATAGAGTGTTTACTTTGATAATAACTGGAAATGTTCAGGATTACATTTGCCTTGTAATCCTTTGAGTAAGCCTCAGAATTAGAGCTTTCAAATACCACTTTGTAAATGAAAGCATTGCATAAGAAAAAGACAGTTGAATTCTGGATAGATTGTTGGTTACTTGTATTGGTATAAGCTTTTGTGGATTATTTAATTAGTCTGAAAATTCTTTGCCCTATTAAATGTAAAGTTCCACCAATCTCTTTGTAGGTTCAGTGTATTAAACAATTGCATTTCTCTGGAAGTATTTTTTGCTATATTTATATTCAGACTGATTTTTTTTTGGGACAGATGGAGTCCTCAGTATGTGATCCATCTAACTTCCATGTTCAGGTAAAATTTTCCTTTTGGGGGAGCGGTCTAAGACTTGGGGATCAATTGCACAGAGATGTTCAATAACAGTCTATGCTTGGACTTCAGCAAGTTTTCTAGGCTTCTTCCCTTGTGTTCCTTATGTGGGAAAGGTTCCAAAGGAAAGCATTCATATCTGCATCATTTTGGAAAGATCCAGGTGCTGAGGAATGCTTTTATATCCTTTCCTGAATTGGCTGATGAAATTGAAAATTGCTTAGAAAGATTATTTAAAGTGTTCCAAGTTCAGAATTTATTTATGGCCCAAATCCGAACATATTCTGAGGGAAGCTTGTCTTTGTGGAAAAAGAATATTATATGTCAGACTTGAATTTGTTTAGAATGCCAATCTAAGATCAAAATATCTGTATTCAAATCTTGATCTAGCTACAAGTTTATTAGTTGATGTTATTTTTCATTGGCTTTGTTTTAATGACTAAGCCACAATGGTCCATCAGTTAAGTCACGGCTTGAAACCCAAAGTGCCTCAATTTATGGGAGATAGTGAGCTAAAAAAATCAAACAGAATTATGATGTGTAACACACGCCACATAAAATTATTATAGAGTTGGGCAGTCTCACAAAATTAATAAAATAAATTAACCTAATCATCATTTCAGCTGACTGTATATCTCAGGTTTATTGTGAAGGTTCACTGAGAAGGAGAGAACCAATTCTGCTCCTTAAGAGCTTTGCAGAAAGCCAGTATATATTATAGACACAAATAAATGTATGTGTTGATGCAAATGTGGTGCTGTCTTCTGAAAAGGCACCAATCTGCCTTTTGTGTCACTATACAGGGATGTTCCATTGAGTAAGGAAGAATTGCAGTTTGTGGTAGAAAAGGTCTTAAGAATGTTCTCCAAGCTAGGTCTCCAGGAAATCCCACCTTTGGTTTATCAGCTGTTGCTGCTTTCTTCAAAGGTAATGCTTTTGTGTAAACTGCCCTCCCAAATTTTCCAACATCACTCTAATTCAGGGGTGTCAAACACCATTTCATTGAGGGCTGCATCAGCATTGCGGTTGCCCTTGGGGGGGGGGGCTGGGTGGGTGTGGCCAGGATGGATGCAGCCTACTGGGTGGGCGTGGATGGAGTGGGTGTGGCCTACTGGGTGGGCACGGCCAACTCTACATCGTTCGCGTCAAGAATGCCTGTGGGGGCCTCGGCAGGCGGGGGACAGATCTGAGGGTCTCTGGCGAAGAGGGTGGGACCGGGGCAAGTGCCAAGGCATGGTGCATTTCTTCATTCCTCACAAAGGGTGACACCTCCCCACCATGCATCCAGGGGGCAGGGCTGACACGCAGGGACTGGTTCCACGCTGTTTCCAGACGGCCTTGTGGAACTAAGACTGAATGCGTTTCAGCATAGATGGCCACCACAAAATTGTACATTGGCTCCCAGCTGGCCTGGGCCAGGGCCAAGGCAACGGGGGCCGTTCCCTCACTGTTTCCAGGATGGCTTTGCAGGCCACATGAAACCACTTCGTGGGCCGCATCCGGCCCCCGGGCCTTGTGTTTGACATGTCTGCTCTAACATCATAGTTTCATGGCTCAGACGAATTGTCCTGTTTCCCCAAACACTTGGAATATGGATCGTGTAACACAGCCATCTCATCACTTCTCAGGGTAGCAAGAAAAACATTTTGGAAGGGATTGTCAACTTTTTCAACCAGATGGATAAAAAGCAGAAAGAAGAGCAGAGAGATTCAGGGTAAGTCGCTTTTTCCCACCTTCTCGATTTTAGCTGTGATATCCATCGCCCTTTGTTGAAGCAGACATATTGCATTCCCTTCTTATCACAACTGACACTCAATCTTCCAGATCAGTGGAACTTGAAGAAGCTACAGTGCCCTTAGAACAACTCCGCCACGTGGAAGGCACCGTCATTCTGCATATTGTGCTAGCTATAAATCTGGACCACGATCTAGGAAAGGAGCTAATAAAATACTTAAAGGTATATTAAATGGCGGAGTTAAGAGAATGAGTTGATCTCAGGCAAGCCATATGGCATTACTTCTTTGTAAATATGAAGTTCTCTTAAATAGGTTTGCATTTTTTTTATGCCTCCTAGGCAGAGCAGCAAGGGGATCCTAGCAAAGCCCTGTGCCCCTTCAGTGTGACTATTCTGCTTTCAATGGCCAGAATACATCGATTTAAAGAACAGGTATGTCCCTCTTTCTCGATTTTGAGTGACTCTCGTTTAGTCAGTTACAGAAAACCTGATCGTGCTGTCATGTTTAATTATGCTTCTTCTGTACTGAATTTGCTGAACTGTTCCCTTCAAGACACTGATTGAGGGAAGTCCTAACTGCTCATTCTTGTGGTATTTTAGATATTTGACTTTCTGAAAACATCAATTATGAAAACTTTCAAGGACAAACAGTTTCTTCAGGGCTCCAGGTTTCTACAGGATTTAGCTCCTCTACAGTATGATATATCTGATATGTTTTTGGAAGTTGTCGCGAACAGGTAAGTTACTACAGCTTGTCGATTTGGACTTTAGAGCAATTAATGCAGGGAACTTTACCTTTTCCTCCTGCTAATTCCCCACCTAAACCATGAAGCTTTGTAATCAACACATTTACTATAAGAGGTTTTTTTTTTTTAAGTACAGATGTAGAATCCCTTTATTGTGCTGTTTTCTTTTCTCTGTCTTTCCGATGTCCCACCCAGCGTGTTTGGTTGGGATCATGTGACCCAGGGTCTAGTAGAACTTGGATTTATCCTCATGGACTCTTATGGGCCAAAAAGACTTTTTGGAAGTAAAACCACAGAAAGTAACCATATTCTGCCCAAAACTCCAGCCCAGCAGGTGTGTAAATTGGGAGCTGATATCCTCTTGGAAACTTTCAAGGTAATGTAAAAATGGAACTGTATGACACTGTAGATATAATATTAAGCTATATTTTTTTCCTCTGTTGATATAGGCCAGTGGTGGTGAACCTATGGCACGGGTGCCAGAGGCGGCACTCAGAGCCCTCTCTGTGGGCACGTGTACCATCGCCCCAGTCCTAGGCCTTCAGCTGGGTTTTAGAAAACCTTTTTGCTTTAGGCCTCCGCCGCCGTGTGCAAAATAAAAAAAAGGTTCAATCAATCAGCCAATTTCAACTTCTTGCGGGAAAAAAAAGATCTTGCAAAGTTGGAATTGATTGATTGAACTTTTTAGTCCCACCCAGTCTGCCATTACCACCGCAGCCATGCCCACCCAATGGTACACACCCACCCGGCACCCAACGATGCATAAGTGGGTTTTGGGTTGCAGTTTGGGCACTCAGTCTCTAAAAGGTTCGCCATCACTGATAATAGGCTTTTTTTTAATTCTTCTGATATTTAGAAATATTTCTAGACTGTCTTTAAAGGCAAAAAGTCAAGTTGTTTTGATAATTTGGTCACAGTTTTTTTCCTTCTCAATTTAAAATAAATTAAAATTGATTTTTTTCCCCCTTAACCCTGCCTCTTACTATTTGTGGGAAACAGGAAAAAACAGCAGGAAACTTCGTTCAAGGCGAATTGTTATTGGAATGGGCTAAGGGCACAGTACGCAATTTGTTTTTGCTTTTAAACAGAAAACCAACTTTCATTCAAAAATACTATTTAAATAATTAAAACAGGAGCAAGGTAACCTACCTGAGAAAGTAAAACCTTAAGAGAGAATTCCTCTTTTTCATAGATTCAACAAGTGCTTATAGAGGCACTTTCTGTGCTGATCAATGGCTTTAGAGTAAACCTCTTTGGGGCTGCCTGGTAAAGCATCAGCCAAGGTAGCATAGCTTCAACAGATTGTAATAGCGCTCCTAAGACTACCTGGAGAATATGTGCATTTTTAAAATACTCTTTATCTTCCAGGGCCACGAACCGATCAGAAGTGAAATTCTAGAGCAGATCCTGAACAGAGTGATCACAAATGCAGGCCTTCCCATCACCCACTTCATAGGTAATTTTGTCTTACGGAATTCAAGCTCATAAAATAGACTGCAAACTTCCAGGATTTCATCAGCCAGGAATTTCCCCAGGCTGCTGAATTAAAGAAGCCAATGATAGATTTCTCTAATGCGTGAAACCGTAAGGACTTACTCAGCAAGCTTTACATGAGGATGTAAAGCAGAGGTCCCCAATCTTTTGGGCACCAGGGACCAGTTCCATGGAGAGACGTTTTTCCATGGACCGGAGGGTGGGTGGGTGGTTTTGTGTGCTGCCTGGGTCCCGTAGATGGGGCTTTACTCTGTTTTCTATTCTATTCTATTCTATTCTATTCTATTCTATTCTATTCTATTCTATTCTATTCTATTCTACTCTACTCTACTCTACTCTACTCTACTCTACTCTGTTCTATTCTACTCTACTCTATTTTCTGTTCTATTCTATTTTCTATTGTATTGTATATTCTATTCTACTCTATATTTTCTGTTTTATTCTCTGTTCTATTCTATTCTATTTTCTATTGTATATTCTATTCTATTCTATTCTACTCTACTCTACTCTGTTCTACTCTGTTCTATTCTACTCTACTCTATTCTCTGTTCTATTCTGTTCTATTCTACTCTATTCTCTGTTCTATTCTATTTTCTATTATATTGTATATTCTATTCTACTCTATTCTATTTTCTGTTCTATTCTATTCTATTCTATTCTATTCTATTCTATTCTATTCTATTCTATTCTATTCTATTCTATTCTATTCTATTCTACTTCAAGGAATTTGTCTCCAGTACAGAAGCACTCAGTATACGTGCAAAACAACAGAGAATAATACCAATAAAAGGAGGAAGTAAAGAAGATAATAAAAAGGATAGATAATACTACAGTCACATTACATGGGTTAATATGCATGGATATTAGACAGAACTGCAAATCAATGCGTATCTGCCTGCCTTTTTGATTTTGAAAGGATCTGCTAGTCAGAGCACCATCCTGTCTCTTACCCTACCAGATGCCACAGCTTTAGATGTTCTCCTCTCTTTGCAGAGCTTTTGTCCAGTATTATTCTGTCTGCTCCTCTTGTCCTTCAGAATTCTTCCTCTAATGTCACAGAAGCTTTTGAGCATTTCTCATTCCTTCCCCTTGACACAGTTCAAGGGTTTCTCAAGGCTGTACAGGTAACGTAATTATATTTTTTTATAACTATGTGGTTGCTCAAAAATTGAGATTTTTTTTTAAAAAAAAAAACAAGGCATATTATAGATCATTAGAAACACAAAGTGTACTTGGACCGAAAATGAATCTTTAATTGCTCAAAAGGTTTTCTTCCTTCTCCCACCCATAGAGAAAAGGCCCAAAGTGGGTTACAAAACTGTTTTTTTTTTGTATTGCAATAGTTATAAAGACAGTTTATCAAACCAAGATACATGCCCAGAATTGCCCTTTCTGTCATATTCCAATTTCCCGGCTGCCGTTGATTCCTTCTCGGAAATCCCTTGCTTATGAGCCTGTGATACTCAAGTCTAACACATTTATTTTCTCCCAGCCTCTGCTCAAAATAAGCATGTCTTTGAGGGATTCATTGATCCTTGTTCTTCGCAAATCCATGTTCTCTGGGTAAGTTATCTTTGTTTTTTTGTTTTTTTTTAAAAAAAATGTATTCCATGTTTGTTGATTTCCCCCTGCATACGTATGTGCAAATGCTTTTTTTTTTTTTAAGTAAAATTCAGTAGAACTGTTGGATCACTTTTATCTCAAAAATGTTTGCTTGAAGAGTGAAGTAAAAAAAAAAATTCCAATAAGAATGACTGATGGTTTCCAGACAGAGAACCTTAAATCTCTGTGACAAGGGAAATTACAAATGTTCAAGTTTTCTTGTTTTGGGTTGTGAACAAGTAGCCCACCATTCTAATAATTTTTCATCCTGAGGTTGAGGAACTCTGCCTTAAAGCGTTCTTCTCTCTTGATTGCAGACAGCTAGATGCCCGCAAGTCAGCAGTTGCTGGATTTTTGCTGCTCTTGAAAAATTTTAAGGTTCTGGGAAGCTTGACCTCTTCCCAATGCAGCCAAGCCATTGGAGCCAGTCAGGTAAAAAAAAAATAAATAATAGCACTGGTTCCAGCATGTTTCAGTAGCTCTCCTGCAGATGCTGAGTTTGATCTGCTGCACTAATGCGTATGCTGGAAGGGAGTTGTCTGAGAAATGATAGAAACAGCTAATTACAATTAACTAACCGATGGATTATAACTAACCAGTGGAAGGGACTATCCCCAATGTCTTCGAAAGATTTAAATTACTGTCCTGGGTGCTGATGCTGGTTGGGAGTATTGAAGTACAGTATGGAATGATGGTAGGCTTGAGCAATGGCAGAAATGGCTACAGAGTCACTGGGAGCCAGGCGGCGTATAAATGTATTATTCGTATTTATTATTTAGTTTCTTCTCCATCAGATCTGACTCCAGTTGAAAAAAATATCTCCCATTTAACTGGTACCATCAACTTAGGCTGATTTCATAAGCTTACAGAATACGGTGTTACTGTAACCAGCAGGGTTAGATGTCTAAGTTTAACATGTACAGGATTCTGTCCATAGAACAAGAATACAACAGTTCATTTAGTGACTGTTTGGAGTTACAACGGCACCGGGGGAAAAAAATGACCTATGACTGTTTTTCACACAGTGGTTGCAGCCTCCCCGTGGTCACATGATCCGAATTCAGACGGTTGGCAACTGACTCATTATTTATGACGGTTGCAGTGTCCCGGGGTCACGTGATCACCTTTTGTCACCTTCTCACAAGCCAAGTCAGTGGGGAAACCAGGTTCACTTAAAAAGCCTCTTATTGCAGTGAGTCACTTAACAACTGGATGTAAATTGAGGCAAAATTCACCTTAACAAATCTCTTGCTTAGCAACAGGAATTTTGGACTCCATTGCGGTCCAAAGTCGAGGACTACCTGTACCAGTGCTGGCGAACCTATGGCACGGGTGCCAGAGGCGGCACTCAGAGCCCTCTCTGTGGGCACGCACAGCGTCACCCCAGTCCTAGGCCTTCAGCTGGGTTTTATAAAACCTTTTCGCTTTAGGCCTCCGCTGCCGTGTGCAAAAAAAACCCCCAAAGGTTCATTCAATCGATCAATTTCAACTTCTCGCGGGGAAAAAAAAGATCTCGCAAAGTTGGAATTGATTGATTGAACTTTTTAGTCCCACCCAGTCTGCCGTTACCACCGTAGCCACGCCCACCCAATGGCCACACCCACCCGGCACCCGACGATGCATAAGTGGGTTTGGGGTTTCAGTTTGGGCACTCGGTCTGTAAAAAGTTCGCCACCAGTGACCTGTACAGAGATTTCCATGTCTGTTCCTTCCTTCCAGGTCCAGGTAGATGTCCACGCCCGCTATAACGCGGCAGCCAATGAGGCCTTCTGCTTAGAGATCCTAGGCAGTCTGAGGCGATGCCTGAGCCAGCAAGCTGATGTTAGGCTCACCCTCTATGAGGTAAGGGGGGCCTCTCCGCTTACCTTAACTCCGTAACATTTCTCCATTTCTAGCTGTGTCTCAAGTAAACTTACTGCTAATAACAGAGTTGGAAGGGGCCTTGGAGGTCTTCTAGTCCAACCCCCTTGTCAAGCAGGAAACCCTATACCAGTGGTGGTGAACCTATGGCACGGGTGCCAGAGGCGGCACTTGGAGCCCTTTCTGTGGGCACACGTGCTGTTGCCCCAGCCTTGCCTCTCCCCGTGACCCCGTCCTCACCAGCAGCCCTCCTGGAGAAGAGTCGCCCCCCAGCGTGGCCCACGCGGAGCAGTGCAGTCAAGGACATGGCAGCCAGGCAGCATAGACAAGACTCTGCCCTCACGCCCCATTGCGCACAGTTGATGCTGCAAGGCACGGGCAGAGGGTGTGGCTGCCTGCAGGGCCATCACTGCCCTATACCATTTCAGACAAATGGTTGTCCAAATCTCTTCTTAAAAACTTCCAGTGTTGGAGCATTCACCACTTCTGGAGGCAGGTTCTTCCACTGATTCATTGTTCTCAGCATCAGGAAGTTTCTCCTTAGTTCTAGGTTGCTTCTCTCCTTGATTAGTTTCCACCCATTGCTTCTTGTCCTGCCTTCAGGCGCTTTGGAGAATAGCTTGACTCCCTCTTCTTTGTGGTGATAGCAGACTTTCTGCTTCTTTAGTTTTCTGATCTGTGTCAGGCTCACATTTAAAAAACAAACAAACCTCTTTCCCTTCATTTGTCTTTCCAGGGTTTTAATGACGTCCTGCGCAGGAACTCTCAATTGAGTCATTCCATCCTGGACATGCTTCTCTCACAGGTACAGTGATGATCAAATATTAGAAGCTGGATTTAAGTGAAAAGCCAACCAGAGTTTGGGGGGGGTCACCTTTTTAAATTTTAAGTATCCCTGGTTTAGAGTGTAATTCTGCTTCTCAAGAGAAAGCACAAGCCCAGTTGATTGGAGGGGCAAAATGGCAAATTAATTTTGTGCCTCAAAATAGGAATGTAGAAGAAGGATTTCCCACGTAGTTGGGGAGGAGGAAGAAATATGGATCTAAGGCACATATTCTTCATGAGAGTAATGTTTTGAGCCCAAGACAAATATATCTTAACAAACCTCTTCCAAAAAGCTTCTTGGATGAGAAGCGAAGCGTTTTCAAAAAAAAAAACCCCGAGAAAGCCCAATTGCCTTTTGGAAAACCACCTTTGGGAGACCAAATTAGTGGCTGTGTTCTGAAAGGCATTACTGTTTATAGCAGGGGTTCTCAACCTTGGCAACTTTAAGACTTGTGGACTTCAACTCCCAGAATTCCTCAGCCAGCAAAGCTGGCTGAGGAATTCTGGGAGTTGCAGTCCACAAGTCTTAAAGTTGCCAAGGTTGAGAACCCCTGGTTTATAGGCAAGTAACAAGTGACAAAGGAGATTCATCCATCTTAGACCCCATTAAAGGAAACAAAAGTCTATTTATTCCTGGAAGGAAATGGTGATTGCGACAGAAGCATCTCTCTTCACCCTCATTCAGCAAATGGTTGCTTCATTCCAATTTTTTTTTTTAAAAAAAAATCTATTTTTAATGGGGGAGCTTTCTCCTCCTCCTCGCTGTTCGTAATCTATAAAATAATAGATTATGATTCATCATTTAACAAATTCATCTCTTTTGTTTATTGCAACAGATAAGGCAATATTATGAAGCTGAACCAGACCTGCTGCCCCCCTTGAAATTAGAGAGATGCATCTTGGCTCAAAGAGATCAAATCTTCTTGCAGGAACCTTTGGTGAGAAAGGAAAAAAAAACAAACGGTTCACTTGTTTTAAACCTGTCTTTGAGTTTGCATTTGGGATCAACAAGAGGATATTGGCATATTTCCTATGCCCCTTGTCCTGCTTTATCCATTGAAGGCCAATTAAATGGAGCCTTTGAAAAGATATTTAAGGGTTGGCTGGCTTTGAAAATGAGGAAAGGACATCTTTCATTCATAGTTTAATGCCACGATTCCTTCAGGCTCACCTCCTGTGCTGCATTCAGCATTGTTTGGCCTGGTATAAGAATGTTTTAACTGCGCACCAGCAAGCTGAAGAAGAGGAGGAGGAGGAAGAGGAGGATAGAAGTTTCCAGCAAGAATTGGATAAGATGTTGGAATCCATCACAAGACGAATGATCAAGAGTGAACTGGAAGATTTTGAGCTGGTAACTGATTCATTTGTTTATTTGTGACATTTCTATGCTACCGTACTCCAAACACCTCTCTACAATATATAGAAAAGAGAGAGATCAAAAACAGCAGAAAAAATAGTAAACAATGCAAACCACAATCTTCTTCTTGTGCCATATCCGTTATCGGACGTTGGCGATCCTGTTTTTATCAGCAGCCGAAAAAGTGCTGCTGAGTTTTGTCCGAACCAATCCCTTAGATTTTGAAGCCACGATGTTCTTCTTCTGCCTGGACCTCGTTTGCCTTCCATCTTTCCCTGGAGGATTAAATGGAATATGCCGTATTTTTCCGGGTGTCGCAACACATCTCCGAAATATTCTAATTTTCCTTTTTTAATTGTTTTGATGGTTTCCCTTGGCTTTCCCAGGTGGCTTATCACCTCCTCATTTCTGATCTTGTCAACCCAGCTTATGCGTAACAGCCGCCTGTCAATCCAGGCTCCCCCTAAGAGCAAACCATAATCGTAAGGAGGAAAAGCAAATGGGAAGGAGATTGATTCAGCCATGTACAAATATTAGAAGTGGCCATTCTGATCTGCTTGCTTTTGAATGATAGGATAAATCGGCAGACTTCTCTCAATCAACCGGAGTGGGCTTAAAGAACAACATCTATGCTATTTTAGTGATGGGCATCTGTGAGGTCTTGATTGAGTACAACTTTAGTACAGGCAACTATAGGTAAGGAATTGATTTTTTTATTTCTAAAGCTTCTGGTCCTCTCTGTCTGGACCGGAAGATCTGTGGACCCAGCTTCTAAACGAGCTTTGAACGATTTCATTAGTTAGATCCATCACCACAAAATCTGTTTGTCATTTGTAAAGTGCAAGGAAGAGCAACACAACAACAAAAATGAACAAACACTCCTGAAAGAAAAAAACACACACACACACAGAGAAAGGTTCATCTTTAAAAAAAAAAGTAGCTTGGTCCTAGAGCAGTTGTTACCTTACAAGTGCCTGGATGAGCAGGCTGGGTCTTTAGTTGCTGTTTAAAATAATGTGGCAGCCAGTTGCACCAGTCACCTGTCTTGTGAAGAGACAGTCCCAAATACTACAGTATTTAATAGGCTGAACCAACTAGCAAACCCACAAACAGTGATGATTCTTTGATTTTAATGCATGACCTTGTGTGTATTGGAGAATTTGTTTTAGGAACTAAACCATGTAGGGCTATTTAGATCCAAAATGTATGTACGTATCTATCTATCTATCTATCTATCTATCTATCTATCTATCTATCTATCTATCTATCTATCTATCTATCTATCTATCTACCTACCTACCTACCTACCTACCTACCTACCTACCTACCTACCTACATACATACATACATACATACATACATACATACCTATAGATTTAAAGAGTATTGGTCCTGATGGTACATGGCTAAGTTAGATGTTCTACCTTTAGTTGCTTTCCTTGAAACTGCAGGAAAAGTCTTTGCAAAAAAATATATATACAGTATCTTTATTTGATTCTTGATGCGGGTTGTTTGTGTGTTTAAAATTCAAATTAAATAGTTCTCTGAGCCTTTAAAAATGTTCATCCTTAAGAATAGAAATGATGTAACAAAGACATAGCATCCACATCTAGTGCATATCAAGAAATGAATCACCACTCTGTTTCAATTTTTATTATCTGCGGTTAAGTCAAGAGAAAATAGGCCCTCTGCAAAATGAAAAATCATTTTGCGTCTCTTGACTTTCTGTTTTTACCTTGCAGTAAGAACAAGTTTGAAGATGTTTTGAGCCTGTTCAAGTGCTACACCAAACTTTGTGAAATCTCGAAAGAGAAAGCGGGAAAGAGCAAACTCTCATCAACAAACAAAATTCCCCGAAGCTTCCTGTCGATGGGCTTTGTGTGTACCTTACTTACAAGTCTCTTCAGGTAAAGAATATTGACTTAAGACACTGATCCAGCCTCTGCATCTTTTGAATAATCAAAGGCAGCCACCAAAAGATGAGATGGAAATAGAAATAGCACCTGAAACACAAAAATGAGTTGTAATAGCTGGTAATAAAATACAGGCAATGCTCTTTATTTGCAGGAATTACATTCTGTAAAATTGTCACAAATAATAGATGAGCAAATATTGTAAAGCTTAGCTGTGAATGTGCACATTGGACAATTCCAACGTTTTGTCCCTCTACATGTCCATGAATACGACCCCAAAGTGCCCCAAATCTAATTTTCTGGTTACAAATAAATTTTAGTGCGTGAGCAAATTTGCATATACGGAATCTATGAATAATGAGTCTTGCCTGTAGCATAAAAGCACTTTCAATAAGAACCCCCAAATATTATTTTAAAAAGAGCAGCAGGAGATAAAGCAGCACTACTTGCCTGAAACAAAAAGGATTTTGAAATAACTATAAGAGGGCCTTATAGGACCAGAACGCAGTATTAGCAGCTTAACTTTTAGTTAATTTGGGCTTCTATAGGCACCATTTCAGCTGAACAATTCAAGATAATTGTTTATTCCTTCAGGTCCAAAAACAATAAAACTTGGGTTGTTTTTTTCCCCATTCTGACTGTACTGACTGAATGTATTTCACTATAATCCTTATCGGCTTTCACGTGCTGGCTGCAGATAATGAGAAGTTGGCTTGAGACGCCTGAAAGATGCGGATTTATAGACAGGCAGTCTTCAGCTCCACTCAACATCCAAGGACTTAGCCGTGGCATTTGTCTATTTTCAGGCTCTGTCACTCTGTTTTACTTTCTCAGTCCAGAATTTTCTTCCAACTTTTCAGGGACTGTGCCCAAAACCACGAGGAGAGCCTGGCTATTCTCCGCTCCAGCACTGAGTTCATGCGCTATGCTGTCAGCGTAGCTTTGCAGAAAGTGCAGCAACTGGACGAGGCAGGGCAGACAGATGGGCCAGAGGGACAGAATCCAGGGAAGATGTTCCAGTATCTTTGCAAAATCACTCGGTGAGTTAAATCCTAAGGCAGTGGTTCTCAACCTGTGGGTTGGGCCCCCATTTGGGGTCAAACGACCATTTCACGGGGGTCGCCAAACAACGCAGACCGCCATTTTTTCCCCCTTTTCCTTAGCTGTGCTACTCCCTTTTATTCTATTGGCTTTTGAAAGCCAATAGAATAGACTTTCTTGAATAGAGTCTAATTCTATTGGCTTTCAAAAGCCAGTAGGAATTGTCCAGGCTGTCTCTGCCCTGCTGAGCCCGGCAAAAATCCCATTCTGCAAACGGTGCTGCACCAGTTGAGTAGTCCTCACAACCGGTTGAGTAGTCCTCGACTTACGACCGGTTGGGGGTCGTGGCATTAAAAAGGTTGAGAACCACTGTCCTAAGGGGTCAAACAGTTCCAGTATTATAATAGTAATATATATATTTTTTGTCTAGAAGAGCGGCAGGAATAACAGGAATAACCTATATAGGAATAACCTATGTACATCCTTACCTACTTAAGCTGATTTCTTTTGGGATTGAGTATGCAGAGTGCAGAAATGGAGTAAAAAAAAAAAAAAGTACAAATCAAGGCAGATATATGTGTCCCAGGATAATGTTGCAGGATCCAATCTGGATCAGTCACCAGGACCAAAGTCAAGGCGTGAGAGAAGAAGAATAAAGGAAACACCCACTAAATTTGTGTTGCACATTTCTATATATATTCCACGCACTTCTCTTCTTGCAAAACATTCTTGTTTTGACTAGATCAGGGGTCTTCAAACTTGTGGAGCAAAGCTGGCTGAGGAATTCTGGGCGTTGAAGTCCACAAGTCATAAAAGGGCCAAGTTTGAAGACCCCTGTACTAGATCTTCATACTGCTAAGTGCATTGCTTAAAGTGCACCACGAGAAGAGTTTAAAGCAGCAGTTAAGGACGCACGGAATTATTTCTTCAGTCAGCCTGATCTGATCCTAGTCTATTCTTCTCTTCCTATAGAGTCCTCCTGTGGAGATACACCTCGATCCCAACCTCAGCAGAAGAATTTGGGAAGAAGGATAAAGGCAAAAGCATCTCATTGTTATGCTTGGAAGGCCTGCTGCGGATTTTTAACACAGTGCCACAACTTCATCCAGACAAAATCTCACAGTTCCTCCAGGCTTTGGGTAAATACGATTCTGCTTCTTTCGCCAACCCAGATTCTATCTCCAGGCGTCCTTTTCACACTGATTTAATGGATTTCTTTTCTGGATTTTCACTTCTTCCTGGCTGCCCTCTATTCATTCCTCTTTGTTAGATCTCGCAAATGAAGAAGACGAAGAGGCAGCAGAGGTGAATGTCACCGAGAAAGCTGCCTTCCAGATTCGGCAGTTTCAGGTGAGCTCAAGCATGTGGTGATGGCCACTAAGCAGCTCCAAGATATTGGGCCGTCAGGGATCTGAAAGTCAGTCAGAGCTTCAATTTTGGAGCATCCTTCAGGAAAGATTCTGTAATTATTCTAGTTTTCCCTAGAAAATCTTCCAAGTCCCCTAGACTAGGAATGGGGTGCTTGATTCTCAAAGCACTCATACCTCCTTCGGATGATTGTTTCATGTTTTTCTTTTGCCTTTTTTCAGAGATCACTAACAAACCTGCTTAGCAACACAGAAGAAGATTTCAGCAGCAAGGAAGCTCTTCTGTTGATCAACATCCTTGTGATGCTCTCCAAACTGATGGACCCTTCCTCATCCCAGGTAGGTATTTTTAATTTGTTTAGGGTTTTTTTTTGTATCCCCCCCTTTATTATTTTTACTAATAACTCAAAGTGAAGATATCCAGTACATCTACCTCCTCGCCACGCTTTCCAGAATGGCAAGGAATTATTGAGTATTATAAAAGTACAATTGATTTATTGTAAAGTTTTTGTTCTTAAGTTGGTTCTTGACCCTGCCTTATATGCCTGCTATCAGCTTCTCCTAATAAAAGTTCCTTTTGGAATGAAACTGTTCCAAGAGTCCTGCTTTCTTGGGATGAGGTTTTGAAGCGGGTCCTTACAGGTCCGTTAATTCTTTTTATTAATTTGAAGTGTCTGCTCTGAAAGCCTCGTTAGTTGAGAAATTGGATTTAAGTGACTGAGGAGTAATCAACTAATGAGAAATCGCTTTTTTCTCTTTATGCAGTTTGTGCAGCTGTTATCCTGGACAGTGAAACTTTGCAAGGAAACTTGCTTGGGTGAGTGTTAATTGCTTGAGTCAGCATGCTGTTCCAGGTGAATTCGGACTGCTCACTAACTCCATGCAACAGTGCAGGTTGGACATTGGCTGAGCACCTGACTTGAGTGAACGAGCCAATAGCTTTTTATCCCCAATTTTAAAGCCAATCATGTTCAATGTGCCCACCTCAAAGTTTTTGCTAGTGGGAACCAAATTGGAACTTTCAATTATGGATAATACCAAAAGTCATTATGACAATGAAAAAAAAAGAGGTATGCCTGGTTCCCCAACTAACCAGTCCCTCATATCATATTTGAATATACACGTAGGGTTTTATGGCAAAAGATAAAAAATAAAATGCAACAAATGAAATCAGAACAGTCTAACCACGCATAGGAGAGTGTTTGGGTTACGCCTGTGAAGGCAAGTGAAACCAGATCAAACGTTTTCAAAACTTGTTGACAGAGTTTTTTTCTCTTTCTCTACAGAAGATGCTCCTTGTTGCAAAGGCTTACTCTCTCTGCTTTTCACACTGCATGCTCTTGTTAAGAGCCCAGTCGCCCTACTGCGTGATCTTGCCCAAGACATCCATGCTCAGCTGGGAGACATAGATCAGGTGAGGAAGACCAGCTGCGCTTTTAAAGATTGAACTCAAGATAATCCAGGATTTCCCTTTTCAAGCTAAGTTGTAATGTGATTTGATATGGGGCATTTGAAGTATGAACCTAGCTGATGTACTTGGGAAAATCTGGACAGTTAGATGACTAACATATGAAGAAATTATGACCGATAAGAATTGGATTGAATATAAAGGAAATTAAACGTAAACAAAAATTACGAAAATAGGACGCATGGTGAACTAATGAGATGATGGTTATAAGAATAATATAAGCTGAAAAAATGTCATACAGAGAGATGATTATTATCTGTATAAACATAAAAAATGCCTATATCTAATCATTTATATATTGAAAATATTAAGAATTATATTTTGTTTAAGGTTGAAGAAGGAGAATGTGAATGGGAGAAGGGGAGATCAAAGAAATATATCATTAATTAATATACTAATTATGGAATTATCAAACTGAATCATTATTGATTGTTAATTATTATTGTCTTTTTTGGTTAAAATATAAACCAAGACAACACTCTGTACACCAGACACTGGAGATTGTTATAGTTAAAAACCAATAAAATATTTAAAATAAAATGTGAAGTATGAACCTAGCTTGTAGCTCAACATATTGTGCCAGTTGTCTTGGTTTTACTATATCAACAAGCCACGATTAAAACAATGTCTTGTGAACCTAATTGGTTTATTAACCTGCATCCCTTTTCCTTTAATGGGATTCTTGGCAATCTTACCAGTATGGGATAGATTAGAGAGGGTTGTAACAAAGATAATCTCTGTTTCTATTAATATTCCCAGGATGTTGAGATGGAACATCAGTGTCACTTTGCCCTTGTGAATTCAAAGACTGCAGCTCCTACTGCTTGTGTAAGTTATATTGGGATCCAACTTAAAGAGTGCAATTACCGAAACATGAAAATTGCTACTTTAGAAGAGAGCATCGCACAGCACCTGGCTTGTTACTTACGTGGTGTAAGTTGTCTCAACCTCTGTCTTTTTTTTTTTTTAAGTTGATGGTTTTGAGTCAAGCAGACAAGATCCTTGAAGAGGTAGATTGGCTGATCAACAGGATGAAAAACTATTTGGGATCTGAGGCAGCAGGTAATATTTATGAAGAACCTCTTTTGTGAAATGCTTGGATAATTGCCTGTTTTCTGTCAAAAATGACTGCTTCTGGAGAAAGCCCAGCTATGATCATTAAAGCAAATCTACATCATCAGCTTTCAAATTAATATAATTAGAACTTTGCCTTGGTATTTGCAAAATATGGGCCCCCACTTTTGTCAGATCAAACAAGTAGACATGATCAGATATATTAAGATCCTCTTTTTCAGAAGAGATCCCAGCTATACATTTTGGCTATAAAGAGAAAAAAAAAATGGGCCGTAAGGAAAAAGTTTTGCCTCTTTAGGTAGTAAACAGGAGTAAAAGAGGAATAGAAATGTGACTGATCACAAAATCGTGCCAGTTTAATCTTCACGAGGTGAGAGGGAGCCTCCAGAGGTGCAAATCAGATTTTATCTGGTTTTGAACATTCTGCATAATTTCAATCAGTTTTAGCGCAGCCTATTTTCTTTCTTTTTTTTTGTCTTAAGAAAATTGCAATTGAAGATCGATGTTTTCTGATTGGCTTGATCCAATAAACTTAATGGCCACATTTTGGATCTAATGAAGTCTTATTTTAAAGCTTACATAACACTTTCCTTGTATTCGCTTAAAATAGCAGGAAACTAACCATCATATCCAATTTTGATGATGAAACGTAAGTAGCTGTAAGAATGGAAAAATTGAGGGATTCAGGGACAAGGAAATTTAAGAATCCCAGGCTCTTTTCTAACCATGTGCTAGAAGTCCACCTGAACCACAACTCAGAGAGAAAAAAAGATCCTCCCATCCAAAGCAGATAATCCTAGAGCAGTGGTTCTCAACCTGTGGGTCGGGACCCCATTTGGGGTCGAACGACCATTTCACGGGGGTCGCCAAACAACGCAGTCCGCCATTTTCCCCCCTTTTCCTTAGCTGTGCTCCTCCCTTTTATTCTATTGGCTTTTGAAAGCCAATAGAATAGACTCTCTTGAATAGAGTCTAATTCTATTGACTTTCAAAAGCCAATAGGAATTGTCCAGGCTGTCTCTGCCCTGCTGAGCCCGCCAAAAGTCCCAGTCTGCAAACAGTTGAGTAGTCCTCGACATACGACCAGTTGAGTAGTCCTCGACTTACGACCGGTTGGGGGTCGCGCCATTAAAAAGGTTGAGAACCACTGGTCTAAACGATGCTGCACCAGTTGAGTAGTCCTCGACTTACGACCGGTTGAGTAGTCCTCGACTTACGACCAGTTGGGTGTCGCGGCATTAAAAAGGTTGAGAACCACTGTTGTAGAGGATTCAGACCTAGAGGATTTGTGACCTGAACATAACTCCCCCCCTCCTTTTTTTTTTTACTAGAAAATGCCTCTCAAGCAATAATCCAGACTCAACCTTTAGAGAAAGCTGTCATTCTACAGCTTGGGACTTTGCTGACGGCCTACCACGAGCTGGTCCAAACGGCCCTACCCACCGGAAGCTGTGTGGACACGTTGCTTAGGAGTCTCAGCAAGATGTATGCCATTCTCACAACGCTTGTAAAATATGTGAGTGCTTGGAGGGATAAAGGCAAATTTCCCTTAAGTCCATTATTCAGAGGGAGTTAAAATGTAGACAGCTGTTAGACTGAACAGTAGAAAAGAGCTGGTTTATGCAGAAAATGTCTACAGGACTATTCCTAAAAAGGGCCTGAACCTTAAGTGGTGTCTGCCAAATGTTTGGTTATGCAGACCCTAGAAGCATGGAGTTGCCTGCTATAAGGCCCAGGAATAATATATATAAAGACATCCTGATTTGAGTTGGGTAATGTGAAACGATATTCCTTATCTGGGGAAAGAGGCAAGATTCTGTTATTCCATCTGCAACAGTAAAAAAAATACTCTTAATCTCCTCCTGTGCTACTTCTTGGCCTTGCTCACCTCAAAGCGTTGATATCACTCTTGAAAGAATTTCTCTCTATCCCATCTTATATCAAGCAAAATAAAGGCCATGTTATTCTTCTTTCTCATGTTCTCCTCTTTCTGAGTAATCTTTTCTCCTCCATTAATGTTCCACTGCTCCCTTCCCAAGGCCTAGTTTATATATATATTCTTTCGCGGAGAGTAAGGCAGTCCTATCCCTCAGACACGTCCTCTTGCTTTACTCTCCTAGTATCTCCAAGTGTGTCGAAACACAGCCGGAGGGATTCCGGGACGATTTGAGAAACTGGTGAGTATAGCTCCTTGGGCACAATGCCTATCATTATTAGGGACATTATAAATATTGGGCCAGGTAGGAATGGAGAGTCTGTGGAGATCATAGAAGGAAACTCTCAGGATAACTATCACCCTTTTATTTCTGTAGGTTAGGCTGTCTGGTTCTCACATGACTCCTCAGTGCTACGCCTTCATCACATACGTCCAGGTGAGACAAAGTGCTCAATTTCCTATTTCTAGTCCCAGATGAAGCTATTATTAGCTTAAGAAGAGAAATGCTATGAGCGTAAGATGAAGCAACTTTGTTGAATCAAACTGCATTTGAGTTTGAGCATCCCCTGGTAGGGATGGGAAGCTGGTGGCAATCCAGATACATCTGTGGATGCTCTAATATCAAAATCTGAGGATCAAAGTTCTATTAGATGTTGCTGGCAGACAGAATTCCACCCTGTTCTAGAACTATATGAATGTAGCAGGCGGAAAAGTCTTGAATTTGAGGATGGTAAGAATGAGGATCCAGAATTTCTCTATCGCTGGGACAAAAGTCATTGGAACAACAATGTGAGCTTGTAGTTCTCAAGAGTTAGGAAAACACATCAGTAGACTGTTGCCAGCAAATAACCAACTGAAGCCTCTGGACTCATGTACCCAGTTGCTCTATTCCCACCAGACCCATTAAAGCAGACATGTCAAACACAAGGCTCGGGGGCCGGATGCGGCCCGCGAAGTGGTTTCATGTGGCCCGCGAAGCCATCCTGGAAACAGTGAGGGAATGGCCCCCGCTGCCTTGGCCCTGGCCCAGGCCAGCCGGGAGCCAATGTACAATTTTGTGGTGGCCATCTATGCTGAAATGCATTCAGTCTTAGTGCCACAAGGCTGTCTGGAAACAGCGAGGAACCAGCCCCTGCCGTGTCGGCCCTGCCCCCTGGGTGCATGCTGGGGAGGTGTCACCCCTTGTGAGGAATGAAGAAATTCCTTGGCGCTTGCCCCGGTCCCACCCCCTTCTGCCAGAGACCCTCAGATCTGTCCCACTCCTGCCCAGGCCCCCACAGGCACCCTTGATGCGAATGATGTAGAGTTGGCCACGCCCACCCAGTAGGCCACACCCACTCCATTCATGCCCACCCAGTAGGCCGCACCCACCCTGGCCAGACCCACCCGGCCCCCCTGAGGGCAACCGCAATGCTGATGCAGCCCTCAATAAAATTGAGTTTGACACCCCTGCATTAAAGATATGTCTTCCTAATATGATGTTTTGTTTTTGTCAGAACATCCAATGTGAAACCCTGACCTCTGCAGGTGAAAAAAAGAAAAAAGACAAAAAGGGAGAGGAATCCGCTGTTATGGTAAGCGTGGTTAGTTTTTCACATTTATGTAGTTCCATGAAGGCAGGCTGAGCTAAAAGTTGGTCTTCAATATTTTCTTATATCTACATCTTAAGAGTGGGTTTAAACTATTGTCCTACAGTAGTTCCCAGACATTTTATTTTTGCATTCTAGAACAGCAGCAACTTCTAGGAAAATGAGATATTCACACAATCAGAAACAATTGATGTGTTCGTACACAATAAATGTTAAGAGAAAATGGGGTGGACTTAACATGGTCGATGCTTGGATAGAAGACTTATCATTTTGCTTCTGTCCACAGAGAGATTCTAGTTACATCAAATGTCTGTGTGAAGACTTGATTCAGTTGAGTGATGTCAGTGGTGTATTTTAAAATATTTAAAATCTTTCCATGTTTTTTATTTACATAAGTGTGAAACTAATGTAGCCAACAGTATTCTACTTCGTTGCTTCAAAAATTCCTTTATAACTAAAACACTTGCTTAGCCCTTTAATGTAAAAAATAACATCTGGTCTATTTTGATCTCAAAATATGGTAGTTCTTTTCATTTGTTCTACTTTTGCTAACTTCTGGCCCATGAAAATTCTTTGTTGGATGCTGTCTGGTGACACTTCTTATGAGACGGGTAGTTATATAAACAAATAAAATCCTAAACAGTAATAATGTGTTATCTTTTATTGCTATGCTGATTTTCTTGGAATTCATAGGCTAAAGTGCTGCGGGAGACTAAACCAATTCCAAACTTGGTTTTCGCCATAGAACAGTATGAGAATTTTCTGATCCATCTCTCTAAAAAGGCAAAGGTAAGATTTAATTCTAAAAATATCGTTAATTCCTTTTTATAAAATACTGGCAATTGTGATATAACTTAGCGTATCTTTTATACTGCATCTGATGCTTATGCACGTTACGATTCATTAGCCTTGCCTCCCAAGTTCAACATTTTAATTATTTTTCATTTGCATAAGCAATTTCACTTCTTGACTTCCCACATCAAAATAGCATCCGATATGTTAGAATTCAGAGTGATCGAGAAGGGTCTTTGTATTTGCCCTCTGATGAACTATTAACTTATTTGTCTCATAAACCCAATTCTTTCTATTCAGATGCAAATTTTCAGTTAAATTTTTAGTTGATCTATACCATTGGTGGCGAACCTATGGCACACGTGCCAGAGGGGGCACTTGGAGCTCTCTCTGTGGGCACACGCACCTCTCTCTTTGGCTAAGTTTCCACGGGAAAAAAGCCATTTCTCAAGCCCCTTCCTAGCCAAAACAAGCTTCCGGAGCGAGCGGGCTGTTTTCAGCTTTGAATTATATCAAATCTGACACCAGAAACAGACTAACAGATGACCTGAGTGCTGTATGTGTTGCTTTCAAACTTACAAAGTATAAGCCAAGGTTAGACAAATTATCAGCATGCATACCACAGCAGAAATCACATAAATTGTTCAAAAGCATGCCAAATGCCAACTTTTACTTTTCAGTAAAAAGTTGTTTGTATCATTGAAAGCTTTGTCATTGTGTTTTTCTTTTAAGACAAAAGATGTTAATGTATGAGTTGTTTTTTTCTAAACTAAAACCTCAGTATTCAGATTAAATTGCCCTGTTGACACTTTGCGATAAATAAGTGGATTTTGGGTTGCAGTTTGGGCACTCGGTCTCTAAAAGCTTCGCCATCACTGATCTATATACACTTACAGTAACCATACCTCATATAAACCAAGTGTAAATTTGGTATTTCTTATCAATCCTTTGAATGGGTGGTATAAACGTTTTGCAAAATAACTGATTGACCTCTGGGTGTTCCAGGTCAACTTAATGCAATACATGAAACTAAGTGCCTCCCGGGATTTCCGAATCAACGTATCTACTATAGAAAATGTCCTACAGGAACAGAATGCTGAGGAGGAGCCAGACCACAATGAGGTCAGTTAGCAGGAAAGGTGACCTCTCCATGTGCCTCCAAGACCCCTCCCTTGATGCCTGCACACCTTCTTTTAAAAGGTTCCTTTCATGATATAAAGGAAGTTCTTGGTTTATGACTACAATTCACCAAGCTGAACATTTCTGTTCCTAAGGAACACAATTGTTACGTGAATTTTGCCCCGTTTTACGACCTTTCTTGCCACATTTGTTAAGTTAGTAACATGGCTGCTAAGTGAATCTGTCTTCCCCATTGACTTTGCTAGTCAGAAGGTCGCAAAAGGGATCACATGACCCCGGGACACTGTGACCGTCATAAATGTGAACCAGTTGCCAATTTTGATCCCATGGGGAGGCTGCAACAGTCATAAGCCGAGGTGGCGCAACAGTTAGAGTGCAGTACTGCAGCCACTTTAGCTGACTGTGTTCAGCAGGTCAGCGGTTCAAATCTCACCGGCTCAAGGTTGATTCAGCCTTCCATCCTTCCGAGGTAGGTAAAATGAGGACCCAGATTGTTGGGGGCAATGTAAATATATATATATATACATTGCTTACTGGTGTACACCGCTTAGAGAGTGCTTGCACTTAAAGCGGTATATAAGTCTCATAAATAAATAAATAAATAAATGAGTGTAAAAAAAGGTCATAAATCATTTTTCTTCAGTGCCCCTGTAACTTCAAACGGTCACTAAATGGACTGTTTGAAGTCGGGGACTACCTGGACATTGAAAAGGGAGTGAGGTAAAGCCCCGGCCAATTCGCAGCAAGGCCTTTATGTTCCACAAGTGTTCTGCTGATGCCCATTTTGGAAACCACTTTGTGAATGTCCTCCCACTAAGATCCCAAATTTCCAGATGTGCTCCTTGTTTCCAAGAGGTTTTCTTTATAGTCTGAAGGAACACACCAAAAGATCCTTCTTTTGGGGATAGCAGCAATCTCTCTCTCTCTCTAAATTCTCCTTGTGAAGTCTGCATGAGTATCAACCCTGCGCGTGCTAACATCAGTTTAAATAATTATAGTGTGTAAATCTAAATCAAAAATCATGGTGTTTGGAAAACATCACGAGAGACATAGATGGCAATTAGAGGGTGAACCAATTGGTTAACACAATGGTTCTCAACCTTTCTAATGCCGCGACCCCATAATACAGTTCCCCATGTTGTGGTGACCCCCAACCACTTATACATCACTGGGTGCCAGGGGCATGGCCAAAGAAAAGGGGGGAAAAATGGCGGACAGCCTTGTTTGGCGACCCCCGTGAAATGGTCGTTCGACCCCAAATGGGGTCCCGACCCACAGGTTGAGAACCCCTGGGTTAACACCTTTGTATACTTAGGCATAATGTTTTCCAAGACTGAATCTTGGGCTTGCCACCATCAGCGGAGCACACTTAGACCAAAGGCTCGTTTGAATCTACTGCTTCAATTAAAGGATCATAGTTATCCAGGGTCCCTTGTTCTATTAATCAGAGTATAGAAAGCTAAGGTTACTCCTGTGGTTTTGTAAAAAATAAATTATAATGTTCTGCCAACTTGTTTTAAAAGCCAGCCATTAATGGAACATGGCAATATGGCAACAGTCCTAGTCCTATTCCAAAGTGAAGGGACAACTCCACACTGCTACAGTTTGGGAGCAGGAATAAATACCAAGACATTTTCTGCTTCCAGGAAATTTTTATTTAATTTCAAAAATAAAATAGAATCCCGAAATCTTTTGTTGTGGGATCTCCATCCTTACCACAGTTCTCTTCTGTTTCTTTCCTTGAAACCTATCTTAACAAAGGCAAAATAAAATAAAATAAACCCTCTAAAATATTTGGGAGATCTGTTACAACAGAGGTGACTAGTTTGGTTAGCTAGAAAATTACATAGCTTGCACTATTTCAGTCATTCACTGGCCAGTTATGGGTTTCCTCATGTGCTCTGTTTTTATTTCTTCCAGAGCATTGCATCTGCACAGTCAAACCCCAGCAGAGAACCCAAGAAGAAGAGACAAAAAAAATGAGAGCAGCAATGTTTCTTCTCAAATGGCTGGTTTTGCACCTTGTTAACATCCACAAGGAGACCATCTTTTTCAGTCTACAGCATATCTAACAAAGTGTTTCTTCACCATATCCTTTGCACATAGAACCTTAAATGCTCGCAGTATTGGTAACCTGCTGATGACCTATCCATGGTCTATCCTTATAAGGCACATTAAATTTGCCACTTTTCCTTTGGGTCCCTAATCCTCCACGATGGCCTTGGGAACCACAATCCTCAGCGATGCCTCTTCTCCTCCTTTTTTGACTTGGAGTGAGAAAAAAAAAGCAGGTGTCCGTGATCAAAAGGTTCCTTTTGGAGGATCCCGCTGGGACAAAGTGTGTCCAGTTAACTTCTAAACTCAAACTTCATTTTCCTTTTTCCAAGGAACCTTTTGTTATTTCAATAAGTTTGTATATATCCAGAGCTTCCCCTGTAAGAAATTAACAGTAACAAAAGTCATGTCTGCGCATATTAAAAATGCTCAAAAGTTAAAACTTAACTTTTAAAGATTCACGAGCTGGTTTTTATGCTCCTAAATACAATTCCAAGCAGGGATTTATATAAGGCAGGGAAGGAAGGAGCATGCAAATTTAAACTTCCAACTCTTTTTTAGTTTGGCCAGAAACTATGAATATATTTAGATATTAATAAGCCAGAGCAGGTTTGAATTTTCTTACTTTACTTTGGCAAAGTATTCCTCTAACAATTTAATAAAATGCATAATGTTCCGTTGGTTTCTTAAGCTGTCGCATTTAGTTCAGCAATTGTTAACTGTGTTCCTGAAAATAAACAGCTATATACTTTTAAAAATGCACATTAACTTGCAAAAGCAATTTCAGATAGCCCTGATATAGGAGGCTTTTCTTCTTAAAAAGTAAGTATCTTTCGTGGGGGGGGGGGAAGATAAAATGTTTATATTCTGTACTCAGGTATTCAGGCTCATTGAATTTAAATGTCTCTCACTTCTACATGTTGTTAGTTGCAAAGTCGTGTCCGACCCATCGCGACCCCATGGACAATGTTCCTCCAGGCCTTCCTGTCCTCTACCATCTTCTGGAGTCCATTTAAGCTCACCCCTACTGCTTCAGTGACTCCATCCAGCCACCTCCTTCTCTATCATCCCCTTCTTCTCTTGCCCTCCATCTTTCCCAGCATTAGGCTCTTCTCCAGTGAGTCCTTCTCATTAGGTGGCCAAAGTACTTGAGTTTCAACTTCAGGATCTGGCCTTCTAAAGAGCAGTCGGGGTTGATCTCCTCTAGGACTGACCGGTTTGATCGCCTTGCAGTCCAGGGGACTCGCAGGAGTCTTCTCCAGCACCATAGCTCAAAGGCCTCAATTCTTTTGCGCTCAGCCTTTCTTATGGTCCAACTTTCACAGCCATGCATTGCAACTGGGAAAACCATGGCCTTGACTATACGCATTTTTGTTGGCAGGGTGACATCTCTGCTTTTTAGTATGCTGTCTAGATTGGCCATAGCTTTCCTCCCCAGGAGCAAGCGTCTTTTAATTTCTTGGCTGCAGTCCCCATCTATGGTGATCTTGGAGCCCAGGAAGATAAAATCTGTCACTACCTCCATTTCCTCCCCATCTATTTGCCAGGAATTGAGAGGGCCGGATGCCATGATCTTGGTTTTCTTAATGTTGAGTTTCAACACTTCTACATAGCTGTGCACAAAAGTGTCCTGTTAAGTCAGAGAATGTAAGGGAAGATACTATCCCCAGTTTAATACTTTCCTTCCCTGTTGCAGGAAACATGAGAACTCATGCATGCACTTTGGGTTTGTCCTTAAGGATACTCCTGGGCAAAGTCTAAGAGCCAAACTGGTCCTGAGGATGAGGGAAGCCTTGCACAAAGCTGATTTCCAGACTGAGAAAGGCTTACAGTCTCTCATTATATAGGATTATCCAGCAACTGGAAGATAGAATTCTTGTCAAGTGTGATTTTGAAAAGCAGTAACCATCTGATACACACCTTGGGGGATGTTGACGGGGTAACACAATCCATTGTCGCCTCTTTCCTTAAACAATGATCAATATCTACAGCGCTGAAAAAGGCCACTGACTGAGGCAGATCCTGAAGACCGAGTTTATAGGCAAACATACACCTAAAAAAGTGAATGCTGGATTTAGGGAAGAATATTGAGAAGGATATTCCTTTTTCCTTTGAAGCAGGGCCTCTGATCAGTTACAAAATAAATCGTTTAAAAGGTACACTACAACACACCTTCACTATTTCCATCATGCACCTTTTTCCTCTGGAGGAAAAAAAATCAATTGTCCAAAATCACATTTTAATTAGCCACAGAAATTCTATTTAAGTTCGAAAAAAATGGGTAACTGATATATAAAATAGAAAACTCTATATAATATTTTATTCTAAATCAGTAAGCAAGAGCTTCAGAGGATTTTTTTTTTTTACCCCGATATATTAGTTGGTGCTTGAATCTGTGATTTAAAATTATGTCCAAAACTCAGCCCTTGAAGCTCTTTCCCTGATTGTAATCACATGTGCGTATCTCAAAGAAGAACAGATAAAAATCTCCAACCCAGTTCTCAAGATGCCACAGATTTTCTGGGATTTGCAAATACAATGATGCAATCTTGAGCCAGCCTACTATTATTCTACAAATATGTAATTGGTAAAAATTGCATGAAGGGAAACTAATTTTTTTAAAATCAGCTCTGCATTCTTTCAATTAAAATATTTTATTGCCCAGTAGTGTTTTTTCCAAGATTTGAGAATAATGGATTCTCATTAGATCCCAACAATCTTTCAGAGAACTGGGACTAGATTATTAAAATTCTAAACACTAATGTGTCACAGTAAGTTTGATATTTATCTTTGGTATGCAGTTACTAAGTCTTAGAGGTCTTAGAGGCTTTATTTCCAATAATTTCTTTTCCAACTCAACTTCCTTAAACTGAATATTTTTGCCGATAAATTCCTATGTTTCCGACTAAGAAAATGTTTGGCCATCCTCAATTCACATCAGTTGAACCATCTTCCCCAAGCTGACTGGCATTCTCCAGGGTCAATAGGAACACAACTTCTAAAATTTCTACCTAGCATAAGACATCTGGGCTTGTAACCCAAATATCTGGAGGGCACTAGATTATGGGAACATCTCAAATACTAAATTAAGGGGAAATCTCAAATACAGTATGAGCTTGCCAAATGATAGGACCGGAATTTACCGTGTGAGGAGGTTTGTAATCTGCAGGGCAAGCGCTGCCCGATAGCGGTCCTCACTCTTGACCAAGTAGCGCACTTCGTCATGGATGCTGATGCAAAAACGCCCATCAATGTCAAAGACCTCAAAAAGCCATTTCATAGATACGAGCATCAGATGCAGATAATCCACCGCTGAACTTTGAACCACCCAATTTATTCTGCTCGTCACAAACTAGAAAGAGAAAGGAAAAAAAAAATGAACAGATACTGTAATACTTTTTCAATCAGGAAAATCAACTTATTTAATTGCTGCGTAGTTGAGATTTGGGAAGTCTGCGCATCAGCCCGTCTACAACCATCTGCAACCTACATTTTACCCATCCACCCCTTTGCAGCTTTGATGATTGAGGCCTACGTGCAATTGCAGACAAGTCTAAATCAAGCTTAAGAACAAAGATGGTAAGGACAACATTTCCAATTGCAGATCAGTCACTACTTTTACTGCTCAAATAATTAAAAAATCAACTGGTTAGAGCAGAAGGATTTCTCTCACCTCGCCTTCAACAGCTGCTGGCTCCAATGCTCTAGAAATTCGACAGCCCAGCACTGGGGTGCTGGGTGCTTCCGACATGGCGATGCTTTCCAGTTTGTTGAACATTTCAGATTCTGTGCCATTGGCCCACACTCGCTGGCACACCACGTCCCACTTCTTCCTGCGAGATCTAGAATACGAAGCACATCGCTGCTGAACTGGGAGATCAACAGAAAATCTGACCTTACAATTTTGGGTTGCAGTCATTGAACCGCAAGAAGAAAAGACTTGCAATGCAGCAGGAGACGCACACGCAGAGCAAAGAATAACAAACTGATACTGCAATCATACATGATTCATATTTTAGCTTTGTAGTGTTTCAGCTTCCTTTTAAAATGACAATAACGAAAAGTTTTTTTTTTTTTTTTTAGTTTCTGGACCTTATGGCTGAAAAGGCAAACTTAAGAATCTGTCGCTGAAGTTTGGGGAATTTCAGAAATCACAAGAGTATCTGACTGAAATTACCAGACATTTGGAGGAGCAACATGCAAAGAATTCTGAGTGCCAAAGAATTTAGCAAAGCATGCAATTCCTAGCAGAAGTTTGCAGGATGGAGTTTAGCTGATTCTAGCATGGAACATGACTTCATTTTAGTGCCAACAACCCAGTGTTTTGCACAAGTCTGATTATTTTGAAGGAATAACTACAGTAAAGCTTGGCTCTTGTTGTCTCTTTACCGTTTCTTTGCTTCTCTTTGTAACCGCCACACGTCTTGCAAAGGTATGGAACCATCTTCTGCTCTGTCTACCGCGAGGCCCAATTGATTCACTAGCCATTCTCCTTCCTGAGACAGGTGGCAGCTATAAGAAATGAAGAAAGAAGGAAATCCAACGGTGGGACAGACCTTCTAAAAGCTGCTGAGATTTAGAAGCCCCCTCCTGGATCTGTTGCAATGCACTTGTGTCAGAAGCACCGAGGCTGAAAGGTGTCGGAGCATGCACAGTCTTATTGCGCTGAGGTAACCCAGGAATAAATACAGTAAACAATGGTCTGTATTAAATGGTGGTTTATCACATACTATGTACAATTATACACTAGAAACAAAATATAACCACGTGGTGATACAGCAAACTCCAATACACAGCAATTACAGCAGGAAACAGACGAGAGAGAGAGAGAGAGAGAGAGAGAGACACTCCAGCAAGGTCTTCCCTTTTATACTCAAGCTCTTAAAGGGATACAGACTCCTGCCGAGTCATTCCTAACTGCATCATTCATCTCACATTATACAAGCTGGTTAGCTTCTAAATCATTACCTTGACAAAAGGATTAACCGGTGACATCACTGTTGCCCAGAGAACACCCAGTTGAGGCCTCCTTTCATGTCCCCGGCAGGAGCTGGAGCAAAGGACGAGAGCTCACCCCACTCCCTGGCAGCATTCGGGTCTCGAACGTGGATTTACTAAGCTCCAACCCAGTGTCCTAACCACCCAAGCTCCTTCTTGGACCTGTTTAAACAAGTTCTTCTGACCTGCCTCTGAACTTAGGCTCTTAGGCTGCAATGGTTGGTAGATTCTTTGTGGTAAGATTTACATGCTGGTGGATTTTCTTTGGATTCTCTTTTGGATACTATATTGTGAATCAATTTTCTAAGCCACTCAGAGTTGCATGGGTTGGAACAGCGTGTAAATCCAATCAATCATCTAGTCATTCAACACAACGAAAATTCCTCCTTTGCCCAAAGCAACCTTACCGTCGGATTCCCTTCGTGACAGCATACATTTGCCGGGCCTTCTCATTGGCTTCCTGTTCTGTCAGGCGGTGGTTGAACTGCATGAGGAGGCGCTCAGCAAACGCCTGTCCTGCCCCATAGATACGTCCGTAGTTGAACACTTTGGCGTGCTCTCGGCTGATCCCCACGGTGGAGGCCGTCTTGCTGTGCAGATCCGTGCCGTTGCTTTTCTTCCCCTGGAGTGTCATCCAGCCAAAAGCAGTGCAGCCTTCAAAGGGACGGAAAAAAGAGG